CATTGTTGCAGCTGGCCAGCTCTCATGTACCCATAGAGGACTTGGACGCTGGATTGCAGGACCAGCGACTAGCCCTCGCTTTCTTACAAGACAACGTCGCAGCTTTCGGTGGTGATCCGAACAAAGTGACAATCTGGGGTCAATCTGCCGGAGCCGGTAGTGCAGAGGCACAAATCGTTTTCCCTGCCAAGCAATCACACTTCCGGGCTGCGATCTTTGACTCGTCTACCGGACCTTTGTCAGTCATGTCTTCCTTCAAGCGCTGGGATGTGGATTGACACACGTATAGCAAGACAGCTCCTCCCGCTAGTACGTACGATGAGCCAGGCAAGCCCTATGCGCTGTTGACCGAGGCGGTTGGGTGCACGTCGGGACCTGGCTCATTTGAATGCCTGCAGCAAGTCCCGTTCGAGGTATGATATATCATGCCATACAAAAACTGCTAAGGGAAGTCTGACTACAGTATAATAGACTTTGCTCGACGCCACAAACACACTGACCAATCAACGTCTTAATGGACAGCTGTGGCAGCCTGCAGTGGGTCCTCCGGGGAGCTTCATTTCACCACGCCCTTCTGTACAGATCGCAAGCGGCAACTTCCTGCACGTACCTATTTTGGCAGGTACAAACGTAAGCATCCCATTCCTTAACAAAACAACCTCACCAAGGCTGTCCATCTAGCTCAATGAAGGCGCGACCTTCAGCGAATCCCTCCTCGGTCTCTCCGTGCCGCCTTCCGAGGAGGACACCACGTTTGACACCTTCGTGTGCAATCTGCTCATCGACCCGTCGACGGTGACGAACAGCACTTTAGATGTGCTGCACACGCTCTACCCCGCGAACGACTCCTCGCTCGGCGGCGCGTACAACACGGGTGACAGCATTTTTGATCGCGGCGAAGCGTGGTACACCGACAACATGTTCCTCTCTGCGCGACGGCTCCTATTCGAGAAGGCCGCACCTTTCCAGCCGCTCTTCGCGTACTTCTTCACTGAGTTCATCCCCGGGAACAACCGCACGTTTGGAGGTAAGCCTACATATCACCTTGATGAGCGATAGACATCTGAGTGTACGTATGGTTGCAGTGTCCCACGGCTCTGAGCTGGCGCTCCTCTTCGGACCCGTGCCCGATGCCATAGAGGAAGACTTTGCGAATCAGATGACGGATTTCTACATTAATTTCGTGAATGACCTCAGCCCGGGTGGTGCGTGTCTGCTGACACCGCTTCCCGGCTTGCTTGCCGACCGTTCACAACCTTCTAGCCCCATGGCCGCGATATACTTTGGAGACCAAGCAAGTCTTGCAGCTCCAGCGCGATAACATCACGGTTATCCCGGACGGTACGCGACAGTATGTATTCTATTAGTTTAGGAAGCTAACTGCTTGGCAGACTTCCTGGTCAATAAAACAGACTTCGAAAACTCGCCCGCCGTACTCGCCCAGATGCAGAAATGACGATGTCCTGATGTAGAGGTGTTTGTAATGCTCACGGACAAATTGCAAGCAGAGGAAGAAGGCAAGCTATGTTGATGGCTACACGCGCAACAAGTACTTTGAGGCAATTCAATCTAGTACAGAGCAGCAATTACAGCAGTCAACCTTCCGCAGTTAAGCAGAAGCCGTACATTAAAACTACAGAAGAGCAAGAAGCCGTACACTTGGTTCGTGAGATCGTAAAATGATTTGTCCTTCGTTACGCGATCGTCAGGGAAGATTGAATGGGTATCAGGGGCGAGATACAGACAATGATGAGACTGAATTTGAATGCTTGCGACGTCGAGATGGGAGGGTATCAGGTTTGTACACGGACGTGCGGTTCGCGGGCCCGCCAGAGGCCCATTGCGCGCACAGCGAGGAGATATCGGGGTGACTAGTGGACGAACGACGGATCGTCGGGCGCGGTGCATGCTCGGCCGAAGACGGGAGCTGGTAATAGCGCGTCGGCGGGTGGCTGCTTTCCGACGCGTCAAGTTCTTGTCTTATAGATGTCCGGGACTGCACGCGGCGGAGAGAGCCGCTGATCGACGAAGTGCGTGTGGACTCAGAGGGCGATGCGAGCGAAGAGATGGACGAAAATGGCGATGACCAGAACGAGCCGCTTGTGAGCGATGTCGCGCGACTGCGTCCAGAGGCCGAGCTCCATGTCGAAGCCGTACTCCGAATAGAAGATGGGCTCTTGGCCGTATTTGAGCGAGAGAGTTTCGCGGACGACGTCAGCTGGTCCTCGTCCATTTCTGGCGAGGGGGGTGGGGACGGATAGATAGATGGAGAGACCCAGCTGGGATCCTCGTCTTGGCTGGAAGCGCCCTCCTCGGATGCTGTATCTCGGCTTGGTCTTGGCAAAGACACATGACTGCGTTTTGGACTGCGCTGGATCATCTCGTCCTTTTGCGATTGGCTTTCCGTTCCATCGCCTTGCACCACGAGGGTGGTCTCGTTGTTCATCTCCTCCTCAAGCTTCTCTTCCGTCTTGCCCCGCAAGTTGCGAGAGGTATCGGTGTGAAGAGCAGCAAGGTCTTCACGCACAAAGGAACGAGCTGAGAAAAAGGCTTGCCGCGCCTGATCCAGGAATGGGAAGTTCTGAAACACATGCACCTGCAGCGAAAGCAATTCAATTGAGATATATAGCGGGAGCCACTGCTACGTACCGCGTCTTCATACAACTCATGTCGCACTTGCACCCCCGCGAGGGAAGCTTTATGAGCCAAAAGCGTGTGTTCATCTCGCAGAACCTCCGCTTCTCCCGCTTGGATGAGCAGCGGTGGGAGCCCCTTGAAGTCTCCGAATAGCGGGCTCGCATACGGGTGGGTCAGGTACTTCTCCATATGTTCTCCAAGATAGCAAGCGATCGGATTGAGGTGGTCACCAGGTATCGGCTTCGGGACAACATCGTACGATTCGTTACTCTCCCATGAGTCACAGCTCATTGTAAGATCTGCAATGACAGGTGAGATTGTATGGAAGCAAGATACATGGTAAAACACTCGCCAACCCATGGAGACATGAGAATACCGCCACCAGGAAGGGGATAATCGTTGTCCCGCAAGTACATCATCAGGGCTAGCGAGAGCCCTCCACCAGCACTGTCGCCTGCGACAATGATATTCTCGGAGGGAATCTGGAGATCATTTATTAGTCGGAGGTAGGCTGATACTGCATCGTGCAGTGGCCCTGGGAATCGCGTTTCCGGCGCAAGACGATAGTCGAGAGCTGTGTGAAAGTAACATCTCAGCCCAGGCTTGAATGAGGCCAAGAGAATGCACGCACCGAACACCCTAGCATCTAGAAACTTGGACAGAGGTATCGTGATAAGTCTATGGGTGGTCGGGTTGGATAAATAGTATGCGCCTGGTAAAACACCAGTCAGATCATGCCCGCATATACCCAGTATACAACTACTTACCACCATGGAGGTATAACACCACTCGCTCCTTGCGCTTGGTATACGACAAGGACTCGCCTGGAGAACTAGAGCTGGCAGAGGAAGCCTCCTTCTTGGCCGCCTTCCATTCTGACTGTAGTCTTTGCCACGTCTTCTTACCCACCACCCACTCTCCGGAGAGTTCGCGCGTACCGCCCTCGGCAGCATCAAACTTTGCGAGGATACCTTTAAGGCCACGCCTAGGGACATGGAAGGTGACTGGCGTGACCAGCGCATCCGAAGGCACCGGTACGAGACCACTGATGCTCATGACCATCCTGATCATCGCCTGCATACCTCCATCAGCACGACGCGTGTCAGACGACAGGGGAGCACTCACAATGTTTGCAAGGTGCGAATGCAGACCGACATCCCGCATTAGACACGTCACAATAGTCATCTCGATTCCCCATGACGGTCGGAGCGGCCCCCGCAGCTGGTGCGATATTACGGCGGTAATAACCTCGCTCACTGCAATGCAATATTCAAAGTCAGTGCTCTACATATTATCTACACATGCCACGCAGGGGGGCCTCCGTGAGGTCGGTGCCGATTGTCGGAGACTCACCTTTCCATGCCGCAAACGACCCGTACTTCCACAAATCTGTGAGCCGGAAAGGCTGTGACTCCCTCTGCTTCAATTTAAGGTCGCCAACACGCGACGAGGGAGGAGGGGGGACGCCGGGAGCCTCGAAATACCGCAGCAGCTCCTTCACGGGGAGGGTCACTGACTTGGGTCGCGATTTGACCTCCGCCTTGGGCGGTCCAGTCTCCTCATCGCCAACAACGCCCTTGGGCTCTTTGTCGCACCGGCCGGGAAATAGAGACATAGTCCAGTTCATGGATAAAATTCAAGAGCAAGAGCTGGGAATGAGGGGGGCGGGGGCGGTGGCGAGTGGAGATGTTTCAGCCTGTACCCGCGACCAGTGCGCGAGCGGAGAGAGTGCAATGGACCAAAAATTCGTGTGCTTTCTCTGGCACGAGGATTTGTGTCAGAGACATGGAGCCGGGAGATTGATGTGGGGGTGGGGGAACAGAGCACGACAGTCAAGGTACGCGCAGGGACAGAGCCTTCAAGAAATGACTGGGGATATGAGGGTCCGCAAAGCGCTCGATTGTGCGCTTGACGTAAGGGATCCAATCACATGCGCCGAGCAACGCCCGAGGAGCAGGCCCCTTGCGGCCGCCCCGCACTGCGCAAACCTTGTGCCGAGGCATTCAATAGTCTCCGGACGCACCATCCAGTCGATTGGGGGTAAACAAGGAACGGAACTAGGTACATAGCTACTCGGGCCACAAACGGCGCGCTTCTCGTCGCGGGAAGGGGACCAGCTGATCAATAGTCATCGCCTCTGCTGACAATCTCCTTCCGAGTAGGCCTCAAAAGGATCGTGTGCTCCTGTTAGACGGATCAGTACGTTGCCTCTCACGCGGATTGCGAAGCTACAGGAAAGACACCTACGAATTGGGCTGTCATCGCACCCGGAGCATCGCATAATGGAGGATAATCTTGCACAATGCCTTGGGAGACTAGATGGTTGAGCTAGCAGAGAAGGATCGTCGTTAATACACGTTGGGAGCTCTCTCCAAGACTGCTCACCGCGAGAAGATATCGGCTCTCGCCAGCTCGATCAAGATACCGTCTACAAAACGGAAGCGTGCCGAAGGTCTTGTTGATGGTCTTCAGCAAAGATTTTGCGGTAGTAAGTCGGAGGGTGACATTTGGGGCATCCACCTGCCTGGCGTAATGCGATACCTCGCCCTGCGTAGCTAGCTTTTAATCCTAGAGTGACTGATTTATCTTAACTCGTACGTACACTCTCCACAACTCGGCCACGGCCCGTCGAACCGAACGTCTCGATGGCGAAGTACTCGCCCTCCTCCATCTTCGTTTGGTCATTGTTTTTCACGAGGCATACTGACTTGCCACCATGAATCTGGTATGGGTTAATTGAGTGACCACTCAAATTCTCGATAGCCTTGACTAACAGTAGGTTAGTAGCGGGACGTCATGAAGATGCGAATGATCTTACCGGGTATAAGTTTGCCATTAATCTCCACTTCGTACGACTCCATCGTTTCCTGGATGGAACCGGCGATCTCGCCCAGTCGTGCATCAATGCCCGCTTCCTGACACGTTGGAGAAGAGGATAAGCTCCCGTGATACTGCGCAGCCGAGGGAGACTGTGGCATACCCGAACTCCAGTATTGGTGGCTGCCTGCACGGCCTCGAGCAATTTGTCGTACGTGTGATCAAAGGTCAGCGTGAATGCCGAGTCGAGAATGCGTCCCTTGACGTGTACACCGAAGTCGACCTTTAGGACGTCGCCATTTTGCAAGACTGAGATAGAAGCAGTCAACCCGGTAAGGATGCGGAACTGGGGATTTCAAGGAGAAGACGCACCCATGGTATCTCCGCCGTTCGGCGAGTAATGTGCGGCACAGTTGTTGACACTCAGGCCCGTAGGGAAGCCGACGCCCGCCTCCAAACCGTTTTCCTCCACTAATGCCCTCGTGCCGTTCTCGATAGTTTCCGCAATGTCTATCATGCTCATTCCGGGCTTAATGACCTTGCGTGCATATCGTCGTACTTGTCTGTGGACCTCAGCAGCCTTGCGGATATTGTTGTAGGTCTGCTCAGGATCTTCCATGATCATACGTTCAATATACCTTTTCTCTTCTGACGTTGTTCGCCAAGCATTGCTGAGCAGATGGCGCGTAAGATGTATTGTAAAGTACAGCGTAAACAACGTACTCGTCCTTATATTCATGCGTCTCGCCTTCGGGATAGTGTCCGTCAGAGAATAGTTTTGACAAGCCTACGCGTGGTGGCTCTGTCTGCTGCTCAGTAGCCTTCTTCTTCTTCGGTTTTCTTCTTTTTCTTTTTCTTCTTGCTGTCCCCTGACATTTTGTTAGCCCGCTGCCTGGAAGGTATGTCATCTGTGGCACACCTCCCGCTCCTGTTTCAGCTACGCCGTCTTCCTCGCCGTCATCAACTTCGTCTTCAGCATCGAGATGATTTTGAGGTACCTTCTCCTCCTCCTCCTCCTCCTCCTTTACTGTACCATTCGTGCCGTTCACGGGGCTTGTCATCGTGCAAACAGCTGAGATCGTGCGCGAGTCCGCAGGTGAGAAATTCTCGGAGGTACAAATAAGCGCCCATTAGTCTGTGCATGATATCACGTGCGCGATCGGTCTAGTTTTGGAAGGTCTCCAGGATGAACCGCGGCCTGTGGGGACTTGTCCTCGCAACGGGGTGTGTCTGGAGTCTATACCACTGATTCCAGTCATTCTCGAACTGCTCAATCGACTTGTTCTCGCCTTCCACGACCCTCCCGCTGTGTTAGCTTTTCATTAGCTATGGATACTCCCTCTGATCTCCCCCAGCCACCTCAGATCTTGCTTGATTCTCTCTTCGCATCTTCCAGCGACTTGCCTGGGATTTCTTTGTATACAGGAGATGACGCCGTCAAGATTCCTACTCCAATTCTCTCCGACGATTCTAGACCATATGTCACACTCACTTTTGCTCAGTCCCTGGACGCCAAGATTGCAGGAAAAGACGGCAAACAGCTGGCCTTGAGCGGCAAGGAAAGCCTCATCATGACACACTGGTAAGTGCCGGGGTATCAACTATGCGTGCCAGTGCTTCAATGACACGAGAAGCTCAGGATGAGAACGATGCACGATGCTATCATGGTCGGGATCGGTACGGCGCTCAATGACAATCCTCAGTTGAACAGTAAGCTACTCTTACCGTCAATCACTTAAAGTTACTGAAGATCCTGGAATGTTCAGCCCGGCATGTTCCGTCTCTTCCCGAAGGACACCTTCACAAGTATCATCTTCCGCGCCCAGTCATTCTGGATGCGGATCTGCGTCTTTTCCCCAAGTGCAAGCTCCTGAACAATTTTGCGGAGGGCCAAGGAAGGAGGCCTTGGGTTATTGCCGTCCCTCCGACAAAAAACTGTGCCGACTGGGGAGTTCGGAAGCACGATCTAGAGATCGCGGGCGCGAGAATCATAGAAGTAGATGGCGACAACGGTAAGGCAAACTGACTGCAGATCGTGCTATCCCGCGCCCATATTTTCCCGCTGTTAGGTCGGGTATCCCTCCCATCAATGCTGAAAACGTTGAGAAAGCTCGGCATCAGGTCGCTCATGGTCGAAGGCGGCGCCCGTGTCATACAGTCCTTCCTCGCCTCAACAGAGAAGACGCCGCTGGTTGAGACAGCGATCATTACCGTTGCACCAGTCTTCGTTGGAGACGAGGGTGTAGGTTATGGCCAAAGCCTGTCAGGGACCCCAGTAGATGTGTTTACTAGCTTTCACGTGCCAAAAATTCTGATCTCCACGTTTCTACACAGGTTGGAAAGCTTCAGCATACCCAGACTATACTATTTGGCCGTGATGTTGTTTTTTCACTGAAATCTACTTAGTAAGAATGTAGACGGATCCCGCGTCCTGCGTTATCATCTATCCTTATACCCTCATTTACCTTCATGGGCGAGATTTTTGTTGTCGGAATACTATTGTTGTAAACAAAACGGGTTACCCTAGACCTCTCGAACTGACGGAAGCTGTCTTCCCGACGTCGTTGCCAGCTTGTCGAGGCTACGTAACTGCGCGATCACGCGGCGGATCACTGATTCACTAGCACTTCCGAATCCGTGGCGTACTCTGGTGTCTCGCTCCCGACTTGACGTCCGACCACGACCACCTGCACAAAGCTCCTGAGAATGGCGTCAGCGCCGAACATTGTCAAGCTCCAGAAGGTCGAATGTGAAACAATCGTACAGTTCCAAGTTGACGACCTCCGGTCTTGCTTTGCGCGTACGTCTCCGACGAAGTACTCTGAACACTTCGGACCTGGTCTGCGCTTCGGACTGTACACTTTCAACGATGCCAGCGGGTTGAGCCACATCGGACTCTACCTCTATACTTCGAAAGAATATCCTGCAATGAACGTGACTTGGACCGTACATGCAAAGTCGCTGCACGGTGGCCAGTCGTACCTGAACAAGACCATGTCCTACACATTCAAGAGCGGCGAGGCCATCGGCTGGTCGAAGTTTCTGACTTCGGAACAGTTTCAGGCGACGCAGTCTATGAAATCTGAAAACGCAATGATCTTATGCGCCACCCTCAAATTCGCGCCAGTCTGGCCTATAGTCTCGAAGCCGAGCCTAGACGTGTTGCACCGCGTCGTCGTCGGCAAGAACGTACCAAACGTCCGTTATGTGGCGTACAAGAAACGCGATTCAAACGGCAGACTTAGCAAACTGTGTTTGTTGTATTCTAGTAGAGAAGCGATGGCTCAGCGCTCCGACGAGCTCAAGGACTGTGAGTGCACGCCAATGTGGCGCCTGGTGGCCGCCCGAGGCTGAGAACAGGAAAACAGTATACGAAGTCGCGTCCAATAAGCTCTCGTCCAGCATCTTGAAGAATGATGAAGAAGCGAAGCGGACGGCATTCACAAGCTACCGCGACGACGACAGCGACTTCGAAGACGACACGCCAGACGCTGAACAAGAGGATTTTGACATGGGCGACGCCCAGCTTCCAGAGAATAACCCGCCAAGTTCTGCGGCCACAGATCGAACATTCGTTGCAGATGAGCCCATCGTCGTGAAAACGGAGCCTATCTCGGCATGTGCGTATAAGGACGCGGGGAGCATCGTCCACTTCTGCTTCTAATCGTTACTAGGCGCGTTTCCAGCATCGGATAATACGAAGCAATTTAAGGGGCGCACTATCGTGATACTTGGTACGGCAGCTCGCACGTAAGCCCAAGCAGAGCCAACGCCATCAGTCTCCTTGCTGAACGAAAGCCTCACAAACCAGCTGGGAGGCCCTTCTTTATTGGCTGTACACAGGCATCATCGTTTTTGCCCCGTTGAAGAGCAACGGCAAGAACGACCGGGACCACTTCATTCAGCAGTACTCTGGCGCAAATCCGGATCGTCCGAGTCCTGTCTCATGCAAATCCATCTACCGGCTTGCGGACGTGGTAGGTTCAGCATTCCTTCCACCATCGGCCTCGGGGCCGTAGGACTGAGTATCGCCACACACAGCTGCATCTGGAGACCCTGAAGAATTGCGCTTTGGACCATCTCACGACGCAGCTCTCGATGCAGACCTATCTGCATGAGCTCTTCAGCTCGTTCACGGCAAAGTGCGTGCGGTATTTCGTTACATTATCACACTTTCGAACACCTATATAGGTACGACAAGGTCCGCAAACTCGAGATGCTCGCCGTCGTTAAGCACTGGGATGAGCTGAAGGGCTCAGCCGCTCTCAAGGAGAAGATAGTTGACGTTGCCACTGGCAAGTTGCCGCATGCTAGTCATGTCCTCGCCGACCTCCTATTGCGGACGTCCATCAGGGAGGAGACTGAAAGCTCAGGATCAGGTCCAAGGAAATGAGGTGAAGACCACCGGAATCGGCTTCTTGACTTTGAGACTGCAAGCATTGTATACCACGTCATATGGAGCATAGTAGGCATACGTGCATGCGCGATTGGACATAATATCAATTGTTTCGCGACGTTACAGAAGCATTTCGTACAAGAAGCGATGAGACACATTCGAGTCACAATAACACCAAAGGAAGACAACAAGAGCGGGGAGCATATGACGATATTGTACACGCAGAGTCCATACGAATGCAGGTGAGATTGTTCAAACCACGTTCACTCCGAGTCTTCAGAGGAAGTCGTATCATACAAAACGACGTATTCCATGTCACGGGACACATCGGCCGGGGAGGTCGCGTCAACGGCTTCACGGCTGTCCTGGAAGATCACATCGTCCGCGGATGCAATCGAGGGTGAAGACGGGGCATCGATCAGGGACAGGGAAGAGTCGAAGGAGCCATCTTCGGATAGAGGGCTGGATGGCACGGATGCGGCTGCAGACACACCAGTGGACTCGCGCGTCTGAGCTCCGGCCGATGGGGCGGGTGGCACGATGACCGAGGATGCTGCCAAGGATTCTTCGCTGCTGGGATCCTCGCTGTGATCAGGCTCCACGACAACAATGCTACATGAGGTTGTCAGCATGCGCTCAGTGACTGAAGCCGAACCATACGCACTCTACCCAAATGCTACTTCCGAAAAACTCTTTGCCGTCGTGAAGGCGCCAGTAACTGACATACTTGCCAGATACGTCCGGAGCCTAGCCACGGACAGTGAGATATTGGTCTCGAGCGATGATGTGCGTTGACATACCTTCATTTCGCTAGCCACCAGTTCCGCCTCCGCACCAGGGGGGACACAGCCGACAGGCATACGCACAGCCGCACTTTCACGCGACATCATTCTGTCGCCCGCAACGTATCTCAAAGTAGTCTCCTCTGGCCAAGCCGTCTCGCCATCATTGCGCATAACCCAAGACTTGACAAACTCAGCGCCAGGCGGAAAGACAGTACCGTCGGCAATGTTATTGTCGACCACAAACGTAGCCTGGTGATGAATGTCAGCCGGGAGCAGAGTCGGTAGGATGGGCGCGACGCGGTTCAAAGCTTCTAGTAAATTGTTCCGAGAGCGCTCAACCATCTCCGATGTTGGTGCTGGAGGAGCAAGTAGCGCCTCATCCGCAAGAGGGGATTTCTCTGCGGCAGTATGGTACTCCTGGGCAGTTGTCTGGGTCTCCTTCTCGTCAACAGGTCCGCTTAGAGCTTCTTCCGCAGCCATAGCACCGGGAATGTTCTGGAGTTCGACCGGAACCGCATCCACTGCGGGTGGGGTTACAGGCTGGAGAAGATGTCTGAGCATCGTGGTCAGTTCAGGCCAAAGCTCGCGCCATTCCTGATCTTGGACGGGTTCGAGATGGGGAACAGGCTGGATTAACGCCATAGGAGAAGTCGTGTTCTCTGAGGGGGACGATAACCCTCCCAGCGATAACGGAATAGTCGGCGTGTGCGCGCGCGAGTTCGACATTGTGGACGACTCGCCAAGGTCGATCAGGACTCGAGAGGGGGGCGAGAGCGGCAGCGGCACTGGCGATGCTATACGAGGCGAGTCTGCCCGTGCGGAATGGGCGGGTGAGATCTCCGTGGGCGGTGCAGTTGGCTCATCGAAAGAAGCGGGAATGGCATCCCTTCTGGGGCTTGAGGAGGTAGATTCGTGCGTAGGGCACTGTATTGGGCTGCGAAGAGGCGATACGGACCCAGGAGCGCTGGCATCGAAAAGCGGCGTCTGTTCCTCATGTTGGAGCACTTGAGGAATGGCCATCAGGTACGAAGGAGTCATATTCCACCTCCAGTCAATGCCAGACGGCGTCCAAGTGGCAGGAATGAGTGGGGCAACAGACGGTGCCTGAGGAAGCTCCGGAATAGCAGGAGTGAAAGGAGGCGTGGGCGTATCCTCGCACCGGATCGGCACGTACGACGGACTCGGGGCGCACCTTTCCTCCGACTCGAGGGTCCTAGCTGAAGGCTGCCACTGAGATTGCCTATACACACACGGTATCTCGGCCTCAGGAATTCGGAGCCTTACAAGCGGGTGAGTGAGCGGGTGTACTGGGATCGGCAGCGCTTCACAGTTCTGGCAAAGATCGTAGTCCGGACAGTCGGCGTGAAGACACTGAAGAAGAATTAGCCAACCAACTATACCCATATTCCACTGTCGACAAACCTTGTAGCGGGTGCCACGAACAACCTCATCACACTCGTTGCACCTAGCCGCATGCACTATGTCCGAGCGAAGGATGTTGCGGAGCTATGCGGGATGGTCAGCGCATATGCATCGCACAAGCGCTCAAACACTTACCATGAGGTGGTCGGGATCAATAACTTTGACAAAGCCATGTCCTGGATGATGTTCAGGAGTAATTGCGAAGCACGCCTGGCAAGTATCAAAGTTGGGGCAGTTGAGACATTTCTGCGCATGGGTCAGAGTAAGTCAGCGAATTGACCTGGAATACTCACGAAGCGATTGCCGCGGATAGTCGAATCGCATAAGTTGCAGACAGCACTATGAACGGCGGATGGCGGAACTGTGGCCGCTGGCTGGGGAGGTGTAGAGACCCTCGGCGGCGTGGTACGTCTTAAGGGACCATCGTAGTGTACTGTGTGTACAATAACCTCTCCCGGCTTCGTAATTTCTAGGAACTGATGCGCGGCATGGTGATTGAGCTTCGCACCTCGCGCAACGCACTCTCCGCATAAATCGAAGTTCAAACAGTCTAGACACTTGTGCCGCGCGCCAACGATGATGTTGTCGCATTGATCGCAAACGACGTCCGAGTGCACGACAGGCTCATTCGAAGGCGTTTCTAGCTTCGCACGGGCAGCGAAGTAGGCGTGCTTATCGTATGGGGTGTCGATTGGGAAGAAAGCATGAGCAATGTTATGCGCCGCGCGCTTCTGGGGATCCCCGACGCACGATGAACAGAAGTCGAAATCCGCGCAGGAGAGGCACTTGTGGCGGACACCCTTGATCCTTTGGTTGCAGCCGTCGCATGTAGCAGGGTGCACGACTCCTTCCACAGTTTGAGTGTTCAGCTCCTCCGCGACTGCACGGAACGGGTTGTGATCCCAAGGATATTCAATGGGGAAGAAGTGATGCCTAGTCTTGTGCTGCGAACGAACCGACGCCAGCGATATGCAGCTCTGGCAGAGGTCGAAATCTGCACACTCTACACACTTGTGCCGGACGCCGTATACCCGCTTGTTGCAAGCATCGCATGAGGTGCCCGAGTGTTCCACACCACGACGCCCATACTGAACATCGCGGAACAGGGAAGTGTCGTCCGGGATATCGATGGGGAAAAAGGCATGCTTGGAGTCGTGCATAACGCGCATGTGTGGGTTGTTCAAGCAGTTGGAGCAGAAGTCGAAATCGTCACAGTCTAAGCACTTGTGGCGAACACCGACCACACGAACGTTGCAACCGTCACAGGAGATCTTGGGGTGGGCTATAGCGGACGATGCAGCGGCACCGGAGGCGGAGGCATTCTCAGTAGAGGAGAACGTCCCATGGATCCGTATTGGAACAACACCGGGAGAGAGTGCGCCAGACATCGTTGTTACAGTCGAAGGCTCGTCGGACGAGGCCACGCGTTCACAGCCCGCATTTTGAGCAGCCTCATGCGCTGCGGGAGGCGCAGCCGGCGCCTGTTCGTCGGCTCCGACCTGTTTGGTGTTGATGGCGTGCTGGAAATCGAGGCGCAGCTCGGCCAGGGAAGTCTGAACGTCGTTGATTTGGCACTTCAGCTTCTCGCACTCCTCAGCCCATCCGTATGCGGGCTGCCTTGCGGTGAAGGACATAAATGGTGTAGCGGGCGTCGCGTGCGTGGATGGCATGGGGATAATTGGCGGCGGAGGTACGACGTATCCAGACAAAGCTGGAGGCGGGGCGAAAAGTACGACATCGTCGATGCAGTGTAAGCGCGTGGAGGCGGGGTTGGACTCCTCCGGCTTGGGCTTGGGCTGACGCTCGCCCAACGCATAGGCTGTGGAACGGTACCTGTCGAAGTACCCGCTCTCAATACTGAGTCACAAATGCTATCAGGGCTTCTGCTGCGATAGACCCCGCGTCTGTCGATGCTATCGACGCTAGGGCTCCTGCGGTAACGGTATGGTTCTGGGGCAGGAGTGCTAGAACGGAGGCTGGCCAGACTCGGGCTGCGGGAGGGCCTGAATGTCGAGGGCGAGCATATGTGTACGACAGGAACCTCAGGGGCGCTTGGTGGCGGCTGTGCAACTGAGACAGGCCTTGGTGGCAAGGGACGACTAACCCTCAGCCTCTCAAGAAGTCTACCCCTCTCGGACTCGTTATGACGTGCCACATAGATGCGCGGGAGCTCTCGGCGTTTCGGCGGCACTGAGTCTTCCTCGTCACTAGAAGCCGCAGTATCCTCGAGCGCGGCCTGAGAAGACCCAGCATAGCTGCTCGAGCGACGAAGCAGGTCCAGACCGAGCCGGTATGTTCTCTCCGTGGCTTCCTCAAAAGCGTGATCGTGATGAGGTCTGTTCGTGCTGCCGGCAGAACGCGCAGGGGCAGGAAGAGAGGGAACGAGTAGAGCGGGAGATTCATCAGGTGAATTAATGAAACTTTGCGGCCGCGATCCGCTCCATTGACTACTCCCTATTTCCATCTCATGAGCGGGGACGTAGTACCTCCAGTTCTCTATAGTTTCCTCCGTTGGGCGTCTGGACGGCTGCGGAGTCTGGCTAGTGATGTGCTCGCCAAGGATCTTGTCTGCCGGTGTACGCTCCGCCGGAAGCATGCGCATGTGGTCCTCAAAATGAACCGTGGAATTAGATGTCGGCAAGGACAGTGCATGCATGTCACTGAAGGACTGCTTCCGCAGGGCTGACGACTGCTCTTTGAGCGCTTCCGTCGCTTCTCTGAGCCTGATGCTGCGGTCGCGCATGGCAGCGATATCATCTTGAAGACGAGACATGCGCTCTGACGAAGGCAGTGCCATGTTCTGATCTGTAGGAGGGCGCTGCGCATAGAGATCACGGATGACCGCAGAAAGTCGGGTGCTGGTCGAAACATCAGGGATTCTGCCAGTATTGACCCGGGGGGTAACAGTCTCGGCAACTGAACTTCCTTCGTGGTCTACTGGGGAGAAATCAGAGCCTATAGAGACAGTTCAGCTAAGGCTATTCTGCAAAAGGCAAAGGAACACACCTTGATTTCTTGGGCGCTCCAGGGTATTGCGCGCAAGACCAACTCGAGAGTTTGCCGGGGCCTGAGCTCTCACGCGCTCTCGGATGGGGTCCAACATGAGCATTCGTTGGATGTCGGCGGAATGGTCGTCATCACAGCCCGCAAACGTCGAGACTGCGGAGCTGGGAGCGGTGACAGGCGTCTCGAGTACGTCACCACCGACAACAGTGTCGCTTGTACTCGTGAAGTCGCTGAAGATGCTCACTGGACGACTCTCTGACGCAGTAGACATCGAGGGCCGTTTGTGGGGCGTCTCGTCGAGAACAGTAAACTTGAGTAGCGCTCCAGGCCAAGACCGTCCCCTGATATTGCGCGACATGCTTGTCGTACTCTCCGGCGTCATGGGCCTCGAGACCAATGAGAATGCTCTGGCCAGGGGCGCGCGGGTTCGGAGAGAATATGAGTTTAGACATGTAATATGCATTCGCAGACGGGAAAACTTTGTAAATCTGCGGGATACAATGCGTAAGCCATGACGGGACCCGATGACGAAGGGTCCGGACACACCTGCGTTACCAGCTTATCATAGCTTGGAAACGTATCCCCCGGAAACGTAAAACGCCGCGTCTCGGCGCGATATGTCGCCTTGACGGTGAACATTGTCGCGCAGGACGCCAAAGATGGGGTCCAGAGTTCGACGGGGTGCGGGGAAAGAGGATACTGGTTGGCGCCTATTTACCGCTCGCAGCCTTATATGAGCGCCGCGTGATGTCTAATTAGGATAAAGATCACGTGATCGATATGTGGTTTAGACGCCAGCTTAGTAGGTACTAGGAAATCGGGTGCCTGCTATGCGGAATTAACCGCTGAATTTTCACTAGTACTAGTACTGTCGCCATCCCTATCGAGCATGCATGGGGAAGAGCTCACGATGTCGACATATAGTTTACTATCTTCAATGCGCCATGACGACGCCCTCCTCGAGATGCACTGGAATACTCATGTCAACGCTGAACAGCCTTCGCGGTTCATGCTCTTGCCGTATCATTTTGACAGACTGATGGCCGCAGCTGAAGAACACGGATGGGAGATACCGGAGCACGTAACTAAGGCGACATTACTGGGAGAATGCGAACGTGCGGTGCTCGAGGCGAGGGAAACTCATGGAACGGGGCCTCTGAAAGTACGTCGCCACTGAGACTGCATGGACCCGTGTTAAAAGGCATTTGGGGCAAGGTACGAGTGCTACTCGATTTCAATGGAATCCCGACTGCAGCTGCATCGCATACAACTCCACTGGCTACTTTTGACTTTCTTGTTCCCCCCTCCGACGTCAAGCGCGTAATTTATGTCGACACCGAGCCCACTCTTGTATCGCGTTTTACTCGAACGAAGACAACCCATCGGACTATGTACAACGCCGCTCGTGCCCGAGCTGGCCTTGGACCTCTACCCGTACCAGCTGATGCCCACATCGACGTATTGCTCTATACACCAGACGACCATGTCACCGAGACCTCCATCCGTAACATCGCTTTCAAACGCGGGAACGTATGGCTCACTCCTCGCGCCAAGTCCGGCTGTCTTCCTGGCGTGGTACGACAGCTGCTCCTCAGCGAAGGTCGGATTATCGAAGGTGACATCAGTAGAAGCGAGCTCCAAGCGGACGAGGTGGTGCTGACATTCAACGCTGTCGAAGGCTGCTACTTGGCGCGGCTTGCGTTTCTGTAAGATAAAGGCTTTTATGCGTAAAAATACGAACTTCCTTTCGCCAGCTAGCTTACTGCGGTCTAATCCCCGCTGGTATTGCGCACCCCGACGGCCTCCCTGCTCCGAAGGTACTCGAGCCTCCTGACGTATACGGTGAAAATATTTGCGGTGCGCCACGGAAACCCCCGGCCACACTTACATCCTGCTCAACGCCACGAGCCCCTTGCGCACCACCCTTGACCAGCAATCACTTTCAGCGTCAGCGACGTTATTCCCCTGAGTAGAGCGGAGTTATTTACAAAGCACCCGCTGACCCCCAGAAGTGCGTCTTGTGTCTGAAACATGGTTCTGCAGAAATGGATGGCTCGACGTGCCTTCGCCCAATCCCCCCTTGCAGCTGCCCCGGCCTCCCTAGACAATGATATGACCCAGAACATCGCCCGCGATGTCTACAACGCTTCCGTCGTTCCAACAGCCGACGCCAAAGGGGCGCCCCCAGCCGCGTTCACGCACAGCCCCAGCGGGCTGCGCCCAGCATACTCGACACCGAAGCCCCTCTTCGCCGAGTCGACCGGCAACGGAGAGCTCGCAAATCTCCTGAACGCCATCGCCGCGCTCTGTGTGTGCGAACCGCAGCATCAGCGTGTGGCCGTCTCTCTTGTACACTTGAAGGACCGCATCGTATTGCATATCGCACAAAACGCTAGCAGGGAATGGGAGCAAAGCATACCAAAGATGGTGCACGACGTGTGGCGGCTCCTCGCCGACTTTGCGCGCGTCATCGGCGACCCACAAACACGGAGTTTGAAGGCGAAAGCGCGGGGACACGAAGCACAACGACGCATCCTTGAACGGCTCGTTCGCCACGGCGTTGAGCAACTACGGCACCGGGTCTGCAAGCACTGGGAACTCCTGCAACACACCTGCCTCCGTCTGCAGGCCGAGAAAGTCAAACGAGGGCGCATGTACAAAGATTTCTGCGCTGTGGCACTACGCATAGCGGAGTTGAGGGAGGCGTTGTTGGTGCCGGTCCCGCCGCGTGACTGGGGTACGCATGTTGCGCCACTCCTGGGACGTTTCTATCTCGCTGAGCAGAAGTCGTCTGTGCGCGGGGTCGACAATATGCGGCTCTTTCTGGACCAGCTCAATATGAGTACAGACGGTAAGCCGCTGCGTTGAATTCTGCCGTTCGACGACTGAATCCCATTGTTTAGAAAGTTACGCACTCGCAACTCGCTTGAGCAAGTACATCTCGAAGTGCGCTGCCCTTATCGAGAACACAAACATGATCATGCGACTTGCTAGCTTTCGAACGCATTCACCGATATTCGGGACTCCGCATTTCGAAGTCATTACCATCCCTTGCCGGTCCGAGCGACACTCGCGGGCGGGCTCGCTATCGTTTTGGAAGAGCCTATCGCGAAGGGAGAAGCGGGATGATGGGGTGATGATGTCGTACTTCCTCCATGCCGAGTGTGCACTGCTGGAATACCACCATAATACGCTTCGCCCTCGTAGCGGTCATGTGACGGCTCCGGACGTGCCTTCACATGTTGTAGGCACCTCAAAAACACCATGCCACGCATGTCGAATCTTGTTCTCAACATATCATACCACCTATTCGGAGGAATTGCAGAAGAAACACTGCCCCCTGCACCTGCATCTCTCACCGGTGCAAGGAGACGGTTCATCGACGAAGGTTGATTCATGGCTTCCGCCTCGCCTCGAAGGTTTAGGATCCGATGTCGAGTCCAGATTTGCTAGCCATCTTCTCGAGGAATACCGTCAGTATAGGATGTGGACTCGGAAGGATATAGCAGCTGCTGTTACATGAAAGCTTCATTTCATTTGCCATGTATTTATCTGCGTACTGTAGCATTTGTCCTGCACTTGTAGCCCTAGATATCATATACGGCCCGCCAGACTAAATGCGTTCAACAGTCTGTCCCGCACATAACGATCGACGACGGGGGTTACTTGCTTTTATTGGCAAGTCGCTGATCGCGCGATTATGATCGGTTATGATTGGTTCCCATATATCTTTATGTGGAATTTGATTAGGGTTAGGGTTAGAACCGCGCGGAAACCAAAAAAAAGGGCCTGCTCAGCCCGAGGGCCGAAGCAGAACAGGAAAATATTGAGACGGTGCACGAGCCGAAGCCCGTACAAACCACAGGGCCCCCCTGGGGACAAGGTCGCCGTGCTATGAGAGACCCCTACAGCCCACAAACCCATGTACGTGAAGGGGCCTATGCCATCAAGGTAAGTATGGGGTGTGCAGATGGCGCGCCCTCCATTATATACTACAGGCGCCCAGCGCACGGACCACTTTAGGGCAGACGGATGGCACAACGAGGGTTACCGTTCCGCGCTTCTCGGCGTCCAAGTGTTGGTTGTACCAACGGAGTGTAAAAGACAGGTACATTAAATTAGAGGACAATATAGCAACAACGCGAACCCAATGCTCGATTCCGCTTCAAATTAAAACATCCCTTCGCGCTTGGGTACTGCAACAGGCGGCGGGCGATGGCCCGTCGCACTGCCTGGACGTGCGGTCGAGCGAGACGAAAGTATTGAGTTTGCGCGCGGTGGAGGCCTGGGGCCAGGGATCTTGGACACGAGTTCGCCGTACGTGCTATCGGGACGCGGTGGCGCGGAGCCTGAAGCGTTCGAATTTATGCGTGTACGAGGGATCGATGTCGTCATCGACGAAGCCGTGGAGGGTGCCGGCGATGGCGCAGGCGGGGTGAACGTCGATGTGGCAGGGGAGGAAGCGATAGAGCTCGGCGCAGGAGAGCGCATCCGGGAAGGTATTGGGACCGCGATAGCCGGCGCAGGGGACCGCGAGCGGACAGGTGTTGAAGGAGGGGTTTGGGCTGGGTCTGAAGGTCTACGGTTCGTGTGCGGTCGATACGTTGGTGGCTGAACCCTTGGTTCTTCTCCGGGATTTTCGGAAAGAAGTCTACCAAGAAGGAATCGGAAATCCAGGCCATACTCCTCAAGGAGCTGCGGAAGAATGAGATAAACACAACGAATAAGAGTCGGCAAACATACTTTTTTGCTATGGGCTTGCGTGATCTTCTTAGCGTCCTCGACAGTTTGTGGATCAACGTCCGAGCCATAAACTTGCTTGCGAAACATCTCCGCATACGCTTCCACCTGTTTTTTCGCCCACTCCACGAAACCTTGCAAAAGTCTCAGTGCCGATACATGAGACAAGCCCGTGGCGCTCGTGATACTCACAGCTTGCAACCTCATTCTCCTTGAAACTCGCCAGGAACCAGTCCGCGGTGTGCTTGATCCCCGTGAATACGACGATGGCCAGATCGCTAATATACATGCCAATATGACCCTCGAAGGTAATCATGCGCACGCGCTTGTGCATAACCTCTGTGCGAGACGCGAGGAACGTATTCCTCGCAGCAGCTCCAGCCTTGAGCCTGGCAAGCATGGAGATTAAGTGCACGACCGTAGACTTCCTGTTATTCGGTGACGACAGCGACTGGAGCAAAGCGGAAGTAAGCGAAGACTTGAGCGGTGTGAGCTTAGTGCCAAGTAGTGGCATGTTGTCCAGCCTGCTTTCACCTACACGGACATATTCAGCCCTAAGTCATCTGACATAGAAAGAAGCTTCACCTTCTTCCAATAGTGCAACTGCATGGTCCCATTTACGGAGGGCTATGGCTACGGTGAGGTCGTCACAGAAGTCTCCGAGCCATCGAGCATCGCGTTCGGCCTTCTCCTTGGCGGACGATCCCAGCTCAGAGTTTCCTGACATTTCTGTAAGAAAATCAGGAAGTGGAGGGACATCCGGAGGAAATGCTTGTGAGGTTCGCTAAGAATACAACGTTTAGTCACGAGGGTCTATTGGATGCATTATGGTGCTTACATCGCCATTAACCCAAAGACTCTTGCGCCGTTGGTGCTCTCCTTCGCGCTCTTTGCGCCTCTTTGAGGCGAGTTCTTCAGCGACATGCCTAAACTGCACAAGCAGATGTTTCTTGTCCGCGGCGACCTCAGTCCGGTAGACGTGAGTCTCCTTGTTATGTCGAATCTTGAACACGTTGGTCATGGCTAACATGACAGCTGGTTAGTTATAACACAGAAAGTGATGCACATGACGCACATTGCGTGTCCTTCGTGTCGAGAACCAGCATTTCGTTCAAAGGCCAACACCTCTCAGCAATTAACTTGTCACTTTCCCCATTGTTCCTGCGTCGACGTCTGCGAGCGACCAACACGGCGTCATCAAGTAAAACAAAATGAACGGAATGGTCCACCTTGTATGTTGCCGGGTTCAAAGCGAGGACACTGTCCATTTCGAGAACGACATGACGACCAGGCGTTGTGGGTACAAACTTGCTGCAACCTTCAATCTGATTGTGCAGATTCTGCATTTGTGTAGCGTATAGCACACGTAAGTCGGCAATTGACGAACGGACATTCCGCCGACGTTCTGCTGGACAGTGAACTTCAGCGCCGCATACATAGCGTGCGAAAGCGTACCAGCAACCGACGCCGAGTCGTCTATGTGCAACAGTGAAGGCATGCCCTTCCACTCCGCCAAGGCTTCTTTCAGCTCGAGCATTTCACTTTCAAGGGTGCTGACTTCTTTCGAAACCATGACAAATTCTGCATAGCTGTCCCCGTGTTACTACATGACTGCACGCTACGGGCTGCACAACTCACTTCTTGAACACATTCCGCTGCAAATCACGCGAGACCTCGTCCTTCGATGCCTGTAACGACGACTGCAGTGAGCGCAACTCCGCTTCTGTGGAGTTTGCCATCTTGAGCTTCAGATCTAGAACGCGTTCGCATTCAACGCTACAGCATACACAAGGGAGATAGCCTCACAAGCATCAGGGTCAAACTCATCCTGATCTAAAAGCCTCTTCTCTACTTCCTTTGTGTCCTCCCTGGGCTCGTCTGTTTGCGGTATAACAATGTCCTGGCCCTTGTAGCCCGGCCGGAGAGCAAGAGGTAGGGCGGGGACAGCAGGAACGCTTACTCCGGTAGGCGACGATATGTCTGCATAGCGCATAGACATGCGCTTCTTGATTTTGTCATCTACGCGGGTAGATTTGCGCTCGCTAGCTCGGCCCTGCCTGATCGTCGGCTCGCGCTTTTGCAGCTTGGGACGAGGCTCTGAAGGCCTCCGTGTGCGCAGGGACTGCATGGTCAACACTGCCTTCTAGGCTGTATCAGAAACAGAACGGGCAAGCCGGGTCGGGTGCGAAGCTTTTAGGTGTCGAAGGAGCTCAAGCGGGGCAGAAGTGGCTCGGCTGTGCTCTGTCTCCAGCGGGATGCGGCAATGGCCGCGCCACAAAGCTCGCGGGTACGCGCCTTGTGTCGCCCTTTCTCGTCTTACACACTTCTCTCACTCACGCACCCCTTCGCGATGCCTCTTCGCAACAGGCCGACCGCATGGGAAGTCTCCTCCGGCGAGTCTAATGCCCGTGTATCGCTCAATACATCGAACAACGCGTCCCCTTTCGCTCGCCCTTCGACGCGACCTCCGACCTCTGTCTACACGCCACCGAACTCAAGCCATCGCACCTCCTCTCCGGCGTCATCTGTAGGCGGAAGCACTCTAGTTGGAACTCCTCGAGACGCGAGGGGAGGAAAGCGCACACATGGGGAGTGGGATGAAGGGGTCAGGGGCAAAGGAAAGAAAGTGCGTCCGTCTGATAATCCATGAATGAGACGTGTCTGATGGCGAGAATCGCTTAGCCCGACAAGCGGACGCGTTCTTCTCAGCAACAGAGTATGTGCTGTAGAGTAGAGATCAATATGGACCCCCATAACCTCCTATTCAGAGCCTCAATACTATCCGGAAAGTGAGACATACATCCGTGAGGGACCCAAGACTGTGATCTACGGGGAAGACGCCGAGACATCGACTTTGAAGATGAGAATGGAAAGAACAAGCCTACCCGTATTCTCACGGATTTCGTGATTTTTGATCCCGGCCACGATGATGAGCTTGTGTCTCTCGAAGACCTCTTCGACCATACGATCGACCGGTCGTTCGAAGCCACTGGGAACGTCGCACCTGAGTTTATCAATGAGGAGGACGCAGGTTTAGACGATGATGGCTTCGAGGATGATCTCGCTAAACAGCGTCTTCGTACGAGTGCAATATTCAGCTTTACTTTGGATTACAACTCCAGCAAGTAAGCCTGTCGCAACGCTGTGCATCAACGGTTGAGACTGATGAGTTTGTTAGTTCCATCTATATTCAGACGCAGTATGCTCGGTACGCCTTGAAGACACCCGCGCAAATATACAGTCAGATCTGGTTTTCCTTCTACCGCCCTCACAGAGTCGCCCAGTTGATCATGTCACTCGCCTCGCTGGATCCACAAAGTTGCACCAGGAAAAAAATACATTCCAGGTTTATTGGGACTTTCCACGATGATATCAAAGGCATCATCTTGGAAGAAGACATCGGTCAGGCAGTAAGTTCATCAGCTTTTTACTGAGATGGAGATAGTGAACTGTCGCTTCGCGTAGGACAGGGTTCTGTTTGATGTGATTCAGGATAATGAAGCTGGATACGATCGAGCCCTACAGTCGCCGTACATGCGAGACTTACGAAACTCGCCATTGCAACCTAACGGCGGAAGGAGAGCATGGGGTGGCGGCCCACGGGGTTCGCAGCATGTCGATCGGACGAAGCCCTTCAACACAATTAATCTCGATCTGCTTGTGCTGCGCCCGGAGAGACAGAATAGCACTACAGTGACACCGCTCGTAGCCAAGCTATCCGATGGACTTTTTCTTGGCGAACAGTTCAAGCTGTTAGTCACGGCAAGAGAACAACAGACCAATGAGGAACGTCGGCGGGAATTCCAGCAGCAGCGCAATCAGCTCCTCGAATTCCTCCGTCGCGCAAGCAAGCCAAGGACGAGCATTGGCTTTCCCAACGACGGACAAGTCCGTCCTCGCAGCGATTTCTGGAACTGTGTAGTTTTAGAGGACACCACTTTCAAGGTATGTACGTATTAGCTTCGCAAGCCACCTAATTAATCGAGGTTTGGAGGCAGGAGATGTAGTGCTATTGCCTGCCAGTAAATATAAGGGGCGCCGCACGCCTGAGGAGATTCCGCCCTTTGTCGACGAAAGGGGGTACAACATACCTGAAGGGCGTATGATATGGGATTACTTCTGGTAAGTACAGCATATCGCGCCGCCCAGTCATGACGTGGACTCATTTGAGCAGGTTCGCACAGATCATGTATTTCAACCAGCAGCGCAAAAAAGTGCATGTACGATGGTTCGAGCATTCATCAAGGTCGATTACTCAGGAGTGAGTCTCAATTCGCTGCACGGGAAGTACGCTGAAAATAATATGCTCGTTAGAATCTATGACCCCCGTGAGCTGTTTTTGACCGACATCTGCGACGACGAAGACATCCGCATCTTGGTGGGCAAAATTGACGTCGTGTACCGTCAACGGCCGCTTCTCAAACGCCTTCCAGGGCGGTTCTCGCCCAACCCTCCTCGAATACCTCCTGATGATACCCAGTATTTCTACAGGTCTGTGGAGACATGACGCAATGAGCATTTACTCATAAACCTATTATAGTTTCAAATACAACGAGAAAGACGGTTCATTCTTGGCGCTCGGCGAGACAGACCTGCGGTCTCCGTTAGCACAACCGCCGAACAACTGTCCAGTCTGCATACGCCAAGCTGCTCAAGAGCAGGAGAACCATCCACAGGCTATTGAAAGTGGCGCGGGTATCGCCTTCCGTGGCGTGAACTATCATATCAATGACTTTGTCATGATCAGGACGCAAGACCCAGTATGCATGATTGGGCAGATCGTCGGCGTTGCTTTTGACGACAGCGCAAGAGCGCAAGGGTCTTGCGAGGTGACCATTATGCCACTTGGGCGAGTCAACGATATTCTGCAATATTGCAGAGAGGAAACAATCGTTAAGGACGAGGCAAGTCTCCTGCATATCAGAAGAACAGCTTATGCCGACACTACCATTCAGAGACACTTGTACCTAACCACCTCCAAGGTTGATAGCGTCGTAATCAACGCCAACGATCTCATCCGGCGCTGTCGCGTCGTTAATTTCTTCTCTGTCCCAAATTATTGGGTGTGCGACGTCAGCGCATACCTAGACCAGTCTCCGTACAATTTCTACGTCAAATTCAAGTTCCCGAAACTGAAGGTGACAAGCTGGAGTGGGGTCCAAGAGCTCACACGAAAGTCCAAGGTTCCCGAGATATGCGCCATTTGCTTCTATGAAGACAAGAAGCTAGTGGAAAACTTCAAAGAGTTCAAGCAAGTCAAGGAGAGGCGACCATTCAGGGCGTTTGATCCATTCGGAGGGGTCGGGGCGTTTGCGCTTGCGATGCAGGAGGCAGGATGCTTGAAACTGACGCATGCAGTCGAATTGTCTCCGTCCGCTGCGCTGACATTGAAGTGAGCTGTTTGCCTTTTTCACTGATGCTCCGAGCTGACAGTGCGTGGCAGACGGAACTCTCCTGACACGACCGTGTACAACCAATGCGCAAATCTCGTCCTCGAGCACGCGGTGAAGACAGTGCGCTTGCCAGGATACCAGCTTCCCCCCGAATACAAGCCTATCCTCAAGAGCGACCCCACTCTGTCACCCCTTCCTCCGCCGCCCAAGCCAGGGGACATCGACTGCATTGTTGCCGGCTTTCCTTGGCACGTGAAACTGGTTATGCTTCTGCCTGTGCTCAGCAGATAACACGTCTCCTTTTTTAGCCAGCCTCACTCTCGAATGAATATGTACCAGAAGGCGAACGACAGGAAGAGCCACCTCATTCTCAACCTCTTGTCGTGGGTGGATTTCTTGGAGCCCAAGCTCTGCTTCTTCGAGAACGTGTGCGGGTTCCTACAATACAACCTGAACTCGATCCAAGCGAGCAGGTACAAGTTGGAGGGTGGTATACAGATGGGCGGCTTGAAGTTCTTGGTGCGGGCGTTGGTGACAATGGGGTGTGTACTCCCCATAAACTCTCGTTCCCCTCCATACCAATTACTTTGCGGAACAGGTATCAGGTAAAATTTGCAGTTCTCCAAGCTGCGCACTACGGTACCCCACAAACACGCGTGCGCTTCTTCCTCATCGCAGCCCAGCTTGGCCAGCCGATGCCCAATTTCCCGGCGCCACTCTACTCCTTCACCCCCAAGGACGCTCTTGAAATCAAGTTCTCACATGGCCTCATAGCGAGGCCTATCAACACGGAAAATGGCATCGCGCCCTTCCGATATGTCACTGTAGACGATGCCATTGGGGATCTCCTGCGATGGGACTGGTGAGAGCCCCTTCTATCCAGGCCGTGTCGCCTAGCTCACAGCCCTGGGGTAGGGTAAACCCACGCAAAGGCGCTGAACGAGAGCGGAGAGATCCTGGCACTAGGGAAGCCATACGCGCGGTCAAGGTGGAGCAGACCAAGAAGGCGGTTGGCCCACTTGCTGCTGGTACAGTCAAGTATCACGGACCCGCACGTACACGCTTTCAAGAGAAGGCTCGTGTGAAGCAAAGCGAAATCAAGGACCTGCAGCATATCACGCGCGTGTTGAAATTAGACACGGTCGCGAGGTGAATGCCACTCATGTCTTCGAGACCGTGGGGCTTACGTGCATACAGAGTGACATTGATCCCACTGGAGGCGAAAGCCGACTATCACGGTAAGAGCACTCCAATCCGGGACTCAGCATTGGCTGACGCTTTCCCGCCCACAGCGCTGCTGAAGGACAAGGACATCCCCAGGGATCTGCTTGAGTGGCATTGGGCCGACCCGAAATCGGCTATCGCCCGGCATGGCTTCCGTCCCGGTCTCTACGGCCGCATGGACCCCAACGAGTGGTTCCAGACGACGGTCACGAACGTCGAGCCCACTGCTAAGCAGTGCAAGGTCCTGAATCCCTTTGTGAGTGCGCCGTAAACGCATAGCACGTCGTTGCGCTGACAGTGCTACAGTGCAAGCGCGTCGTCAGCGTACGAGAGCTCGCAAGATCTCAGGGCTTCCCGGACCACTTTCAGTTTTACTGTTACGACACGGTCAACGTCAAGACGGCATGTACCCCTTGTGAACCGTTGCGTTAGCGAAGGCTGATCCCAATAACTTAGATGCAACGCGAGATTGGTAATGCAGTCCCTTGGCCAGTGGGATATGCTTTAGGGCGCGAACTTCGAGATGCACTCTTCGAGGATTGGTTGCGCAATAGGCAGCAGCTGCCTCCACTCGATGCCGAGGTGATCATCCTGGACTAAGTCTTCGAACAATGCTTTAACGTGTGATTGTGTATGCTTGCATGATGTAGTGTAACGTCTATGGATTCTGCTTGTTTGTTGTACCTATTGACGTGCTCACAAGTGTTTTTTATATCTATACCTCTCGAGGCCATTTAGTGGCAGATGGTTGCCCGAGCCTCGAAGGAGTCCGGCTTCCGCCATAGTTTGGGACTAGTTACGAAGAGCTCCGGCGCATCCGCATGCACATTCCATGAACGCCGTCCGGCAGAAATTTGTTTTTCTAGTGGCTCAATCGATGTTAGGGTGCAATGCAGAACCAAGGGTAGAGACTTACCAAACTTCGCAATAACAATCCGTCTCTCAAGACTCCTCCTCATCCGCTACTTCATAACCTACCCACACAACTTCAGAGCAGCTGCTACATCCAATCAGATGCCGATCTTTCTCCATGTCCTCCTCCGTTATGCGGTATGTACCCCCACAGCGACAGTCGTAGGTCCAATAGACCTCATCTGAACCCACGTCTTCATGCACTGTGAAGTCCTCGAGCGAGACAACCTGTGCAGGTCTGGGACCGGACTGCGACCTGGCTCGCGTGGCGTCGTACTTGACACGAAGCTCGGGAGTCGAGAGTGTCACGAACGCTCTCTTGAGCAAGTCGATGTCGATGGCATTTTCGCGACGGCTTGACGCAAGTTTTTTGTCCGGGTGATGAAGAAGCAAGGCGCGGTGGTACGCGGCTTTTATCTCGATAGTCGACGCAGATGCCTCGAGGGACAGGACCGCGTAATAGTTGGACTCTGCAGATGCATCCAGCGTGGCGGGTGGTGGAATGGGGCAAGGTTTGTTGGCGCCTAGAGCGAATCGGAGGCGACGACTGGACGCCGGACAGCGGAAGCAGATCGAGATCTTCTCATGTTCCCCAGGCTGTTCCCTGGGCTGTTCGTTTGAGACTGCTGCTCAATCGTATCTCTACGTGGGATGAACGTGTGCCGCGGCTCGTGGAAGCCCCCAAGCCTCAAGTGCACCCGAACTTTGGCCAAATGTGCGAGTCTCTGTCCCCATGCTGCTTCGATAGTTCGGGCGTTCCGACAAGATGCGAGCGGAAAAAATGTATGGCATGGGGAACAGCGTTCGCTTCGACATTAGACTGGAGTAAAAAAAAATCGAACGAGTAGTGGGATGTAGAAGAGATGTCGCAGGTGGAGCGGGGCTCGTGCCGCTTCGAGCCAGTCGCTATAGAAGCGAGGGCATGATCCCGTTCCCGGTCACAACATTCCCCACCGCCGCCTCTCCCTCTCTTTGTTCGTCAAGCTCTGTGCGGGTAGACACAGGCATGGCGACCCTTTCACCAACCGCGGCGAGCGTTGGCTCTACCTTGTCACAGCCAAAGGAATACAGGGTGTATGTGTCCAGCCCGACCGTCCCGAGATGCGTGATCTGACACCCGAACCAGCATCGGCGTGCTCCTCGCCGTCGGCTCTGGTGTCCTCATCGGTTCCTCGTTCGTCTTCAAGAAGAAGGGTCTGCTCAGCTCGCAGAAAGGTCATGAGGCGGGCGAAGGCGTCGCGTACCTTAAGTCGGCAAGTTCTCTCGCGCATGCCTACGTCAGAGCCTTAGGCTGATCGCGGATCCCCCCCGTTACAGCCTATGTGGTGGACTGGCATGATTCTCATGATTCTCGGAGAGCTTTGCAACTTTGCTGCTTACGCGTTCGTGGAAGCTATCATAGTTGTGCGTCCGCAGCTCCCGTGACACGTCGCGCGTCCCGCTGACACGCGCACATAGACACCCATGGGCGCGCTTTCCGTGGTCATCTCGTCACTGCTCTCGCACTTCATTTTGAACGAGAAGCTCTCTCTATTTGGCTGGATCGCGTCCATTCAGTGTCTCATCGGTTCCTCAATTCTTGCCTTGAACGGCCCGGAGGAGCAGAGTGTGAACACTATCGATGGCTTCCGCGAATTCTTCGTGACGCCATGGTTTCTGAGTTATGCTGGTGTACTCATTGTGATTGCTATCATTCTGGCGGTCTGGGTTGCACCGAAATACGGGAAGAAGAGCATGTTACCTTGTCAGTGTACCGTGCAGTCGCATGTATGTGTGATGCTGACTAAAGCGAGTAGACATCGGCATTTGCAGTCTCATCGGAGGCATCAGCGTGAGCTGCACTCAAGGCCTGGGTGCTTGTATCTTGACCAGCATTCGTGGACAGAATCAAGTATGTCTCACCGATATCAATGTGCCTGCGTTTATTGAAACAGCTTTCCAGTTCAAAAATTGGTTTATCTACTTCCTCATGATCCTGGTTGTCATCACTCTTTGTACGTCCAGATCAAGTGTCTTCTAGAGATTCACTGACCGTGAACCACAGTAACTGAGATTTATTATCTCAATGTAGCCTTGGCCATGTACAACACAGGTGCGCACGCTTGTAACTTATTTGGATCCGTTCTGATTAGAATTTACAGCTATGGGTATGTTGTCTTGTATCTCGAACATTGACAATAACTGACAAGTGTCTTCCAGTCACTCCCACTTATTATGTCTTATGTGAGCTATTTCTCACTTATGCAACATGCTGTGTATTTACTTCTTTTCAAGTTACGTTCTGTACTCTGGTCACCTCTGTGGTAAGCTAGCACCGAAACTCTGTGTTCGTCTGCCTTGTGACGAGATATCGTCAGATCCTTTATCAAGGGCTGAAAGCCAGCGCGACACAAATAATCACAATAGTCCTTGCCTTCTTGGTCATTTGCTCTGGAATTTTCATCCTTCAAATGTCTAAGGTCGACCCTCGGAAGCTGCAGAAGGTGAGCGTCTGAATAACCGCCAAAATCTTAGAGTTTCACCCAGTATTTCAGGTTGATGAGCATACAACCTTGTGGCTGGAGGTCGCTCGCGCAGAAGCAGATCCCAACGCCGCACGCAAGGCCACTCTTCGCCACGCCACCTCATTCAGATCTCACCATTCAGAAGTTCGCTCGCGTACCTCGGGCGGGCCCTCACACCACGGACATGGTTATAGTCACAGAGACAGCGACGCGGCCCCACAACTTCACTTGCAACACCATATCCAGAACGAAGGCAACCCTGATGATCTTGAATGGAGCTTTGATTCGGACGTGCAGTCAACTCGCGAGATTGTGGAGAAGTCAGAAGAGCCTGGCATCGACGCACTGCGCGGGACGTTTGGTGCCATCGGTACGATTATCCGCGCGAAGCGACGCAACAGGGCCCTTTCCGCCGCCAGTCGTGCCACTCACAGTAGCATGAGCCTTGACACCGACATCCGGAGCTTGACAAGCGCGACCGTCAGGCCTAGTTGGCTGAGCGGGCACTGGACGACTCCGAAGGGCAGCCGCTTCCAGCCCATGCCCGGTGGAAGCGATGTGGAGAAGGGTCGCGTTGAGGTCGTCGAAGCACCGGAAGAGGAGAACGTCACCGAGAAGCCGCGTGCCGATTCGCCCATTACGATCTCCAGCTCGTCCTCGTTTCACTTTCACCCCGCGTCCTCGAGCACGATCCCACTCAACGCACTTCCCACCCACTCTACCATCCGTTTCTCGGACGGCTCTGTTTCCTCGGACAGCTTATTGTCATCGGAGAGCAAGCACACCAGTTTGACGAGCATGACGCGGGTATTGAGCCCCGACCAGGCACGACTGGCCTAGAACTCGTGGTAATTTATTGGACTTTCATTTATCTTCTACTGTACGTCCCATCATCCAACTCGTTTAATTATTCAGCAACGGAGACTACTGTATACGACACCTCGCTGCAATGATCGCATACCGCAGATTTTGTTGGTACATGACTTCACCTCGAAATATCATTACAGCCACTGCGTTGTTTTTTGTACCTCTCCGAATGGCGGATGCCCGAGTGCAACAAATGCATTCGCGATGTGAGCTAGCGTGACGGCAAGCAAATAGTTGAATACGCTTGTCCTTGCGCTTGTATTCGCTGTGCAAGGTAAATTTCCACAGCGCGGGCTCCTTAAGCCACCGTTGGGGATCTGCGCATGCATTCATGTCCTGCCCGCCAGCACGGTCAGGTCATTACATCAGAAATTGATAGATTTATTGATACCCCCTCTCCCTCTCAACAATGAGAACCAGATGGGGTCCCCGTCGTCTTTCTTCAATAGCTCTGTGAGACAACACAGGAGAACACGTCCTCCATTTCTTGTATGTATACATACATTCCCATCGCCGTGTGCTCGCAAACGTCTCGCCACTTGACGGTGAAAACGTATCTGGAATGCGGCGGACAAACTTACTATCCATCGTCCCGATCTCTCGTACGAACGACTCAACATCTTGCAATCGAATGTACAGGTTCTCCAGTGTGACGAACAGACATCGGAGATGTACTTGAACATAATTTTATTGTACCCAGGGACGTTTATATCGGGTTGTGGTCGTACATTTCGCGAATCGAGAGACAGAGTCCGGGGACTACAGAAACTAACAGCAAAATACCTCGCAAGGGAGGGGGGATATACAGGCTACCGGGACTCCCAGTCGAAAAACAGAAGATGTACAACGTAGGACGATAACGGGTGAGAGTAATGGAACAATGCTGCACGATCAGAGAAGAGCGAACAACGACCGACGAGGTAGAGAGCGCGCAGCGAAGATGGAAGGGAAGTCGTCTCTGGAAACCGGACAAGAATATAGTAGTCAACAGCGATGTTAAAAGAAGGGAGATGGTCGCGCGACGGGTAATGGCGAGTGGTATTAACGGTAAATGATTGGTACTGCGAGGGACGGCGCATCTAAGGATGAACGTTTGATACATTTGAAGTCAAAGTCATCGTATATGGGCGTTGTCGTCGTGTATCATCTTCATTTGGCAGTGACCGCTTGGGTTGCGGCGGCGTGTGTTGGGTCCTCCGGGCCGGCCAGGGCACCCTCTGGAACGCCGGAAGCCAGTCTCGAATCACCGACTTGGTGAAAGTCTACAGAGGCAGTTAGCTTCACCTGCGAGTCAGATTGCTCAAGGTGGATACCAAGGATCTCGCTGTACATCATGACCTTCCAGGTGTCTACTGGGAGATCCGCGTCGTTGAAACTCCAGTCGAACTTCTCCGCGGCTTCGGGCTCGTCCGTCGGGTCGTGGTATGGCGACACATACTCGTGCGCGAGTGATTCTGTGGCAGTAATGCGCTTTCGAGGGTCGAAAACGAGCATCTTCTCCAGGAGATCAATTGCTGCGGCGGACGGTCAGACGTGGTCGGTCGGCCAAATCAGAATACTTACCAACTGGGTCACTGTTGTGGAGCTTCTCGCTGAAGGGTTTGCGTTCTCGCTTGGGCAGGGACTGGACAAACCGAAGGGTCTGTGAAATGTTCATTGAGCTCCTTCCGCATTATGTCCGAACTTCGAGAAGGCTTACGTTCTCACTGGCAATGGTTTGAATGACGTCCTCTGGCGGGGTTCCCAGCAACTCTGTGATGATGGAGAACTGATGTACGTCTGGCATATGGTTCGTATCAGTCGCAGTGGATGGCGAGAATTCGGCTATTACTTACGGTCCTTGCCGGGGAAAAGAGGCTTGCCCTCCAGCATCTCAGCAAAAATGCACCCCGCGCTCCAGATGTCAACCGCAACGTCGTACTTTTGCCATGTGAGCATGATCTCAGGCGCTCGGTAGTACCGTGTCGAGACGTAACCGGTCATCTGCGGATCTTGAATGCGCGCAAGACCGAAATCACAGATCTAGAAAAAAGGGAAGAGAATAGTCAATGACGTCGTTCACTACGTGGGCTCTCCACGGGAACGCGGACCTTCAAGTCGCAGTTTTCGTTGATGAGGATATTGCTGGGTTTCTAGGACACACCATTAGTTTATGGTGAGCCGGGCAAGGCGAATAGTCTTACAAGATCGCGATGGACAACACCAGCGGAATGCACATATTTTAGACCACGCTATAGATGGGGATAAATGTGCAGCAAAGGCGGGCTGCTCGGCGCGTACATACCAGTATCTGGTAGAGGAAGTATTGAATGAATTGCTTCTCCAGTGGTCTCGAAGTGAGTAGACGATGAAGATCCGTTCCAAGGAGCTCTGTGACGAAATAGCTGCACCAACATGAGTGATTGAGTACAACTACACTTGGTAGTGACTTACATGTCTTCTAGTGGAGAGATAAAGACGTCGCTGAGGCTGATAATCTGTATGTGGACGGTCACATTATTTCCACAACAGAGAAATTGAGGATCAACAGACATTCTCATGTTGAATATGCTTGAGAAGCTTGAGCTCTCGGTAGGTTCGCTTGCTCAATACCGGTGTGCTGAAAGGCTTCATGATCTTCTTGATCGCGACGGAAGAGCCTGTCAGCTGATCCTTTGCGGAACTGGCGGAAAGGTTTTAGTATCCGCGGACGCCCCCTTTGTCGCCAAACACATGTTCCTGGACACGTACCACACGAGACCGAAAGCACCTTTGGGGCAAATGCGTTAAGGGAAACATCAAGGGTCGCGTGTAGAGTGTACTTACCCATTCCAACAGGTTGTAGGTCGAGATATCGAGTGGTGACCTGCACATGCAAGAAAATTTAAGCGGGGGGAAAGTGGGAGTCGTTGGAGACGTACCTCAAAGGAGGTCCCGAATATGCTAAGCTTGACAAAGGACATCTGGGAGGTGTCGAGCGGAGCGACAAGGAGAGGACGGATCGAGTGGAGTTGGTGGTCGGTAGAAGATAAAGTGGGTCGGTGACTGCACAGGGTTGAGCGGGCGAGAGGGTGATATACAGAGGAACGAAGCAGAACGGTTCCACTACAATCCGCCGTCATCGCTTACATAAGCCGCCCCTAACCCCCCTACCCTTTTCTCTAACGTCCTGCGGCCTCACTCTACACCGTTTTATATCTACCAATTATATTCCTGCGTCGATCGTGATCCTTTTACGAGGCCACTCGCAGGACAACAGTCCTCTCCTAGCCGGACGCATTATCCTTGCCATTTTCCTGTGTACTCGACACATTCATGACGTAGTACACCCACAAGACGCCCGTCAACCTCGCCCAGGCACAGACGGCAACCAACGACGAACAGCAACAGGCCCGCAAAAATAATAATAGCTCATGCGATAACTTAACTTACATCTTGTGAACAGTAGAATAGACAGCACGAAAGAAATGCGACACCGCACAGGCTGACATAGTTCTTGCTGCTGCCCTGGCCCGTGGGATACCGGCTCGCATGCTGCGCCTATGAGCACGTCATGACAAACACGCTTGCCGCGAATCGTTCGCTCTTTCTCACTGACGTTGACGACCACCAACGAGAGACCATCACCGAGTTCATTCAGCCATGTCATTTGTTAGGGCATCATTCAGGACGCGTGCGCTAGTACGTCTTGACTACGTTTCGTGAGAGCACGCTTTGACATCGCGTCCTAGCTCGCCAACGCGCGCCGCTTCAACTCGACTACCTCAACACCGCCACCTGCGCCGAAGAAGTCATCGAATCTGCCCTTGTTCCTCGCTGGTGCCGGTATGCATTCTGCTAGGGCAAGAGTTTAAGATATTCTAAGGGCTTTCCAGGTGTTGCTGGTCTCGCCGCCTACGTCTACCTCGACCGCAGCGGCAAGGAACAAGTTAAGGCCAAGGTGCACAAAGTGCAGGAAAAGAGTCCGCTGGACCCGGATAACTTCGTTGACTTCAAGCTCAAACGTGTTGAGCCTTACAACCACAATACTGCGACGTATGTAGGCACTGTTCCGCGCGAGCGCGTTTGAAGCTCACCGTTCGTCCAGGTACGTGTTTGAGCTTCCAGATGGCCAGTCTTCTCTCCTTCCCGTCGCTTCCTGTGTTATTGTCAAGTCCGCCAGCGACTCGCCTGCTCCCCTGATGGGCACGAATGACAAGCCCGTCGTTCGCCCATACACACCCGTCTCACCTTCTGAGCTCGAGGGCGAGCTGCACTTCCTCATCAAGCGCTACGAGTCTGGCAAGATGTCCAATCACATACACGGACTGAAGCCCGGTGAAAGCCTTGCTATCAAGGGTCCCATCCCGAAGATTCCCTATGAGAGTACGTCCCGAGTTGACTGCGGCACATGCAAACAGCTTAATCTCACGCGCTTTCTAGCCAACAAGTGGGATGAGGTGGGCATGATTGCTGGGGGCAGCGGAATGTACGTGCCACGTGCTTTTTCTCGCTATCATCATCTGACTTCGCGAGGCAGCACCCCAATGTACCAGATCCTGAACCACGCACTCTCGGACCCGAACAACAAGACTCGTTTCACTCTTATCCTCGCTAACATGACGCCCAACGACATCTTGCTGAAGGAGAAGTTCGACGAGCTGAAGGTCAAGCACCCTGAAACTTTCAACGTCGTTTACACTGTCGACAAGGCCGGGAGCGACTGGAAAAGTCCGATCGGCTACATCAACAAGACGCTTATTCAGCAGCACATTCCACCGGCATCTCTCGCGGAGAAGGTCAAGGTCATGGTGTGCGGCCCGCCGGGACAAGTGGAGAGTGTATGTGGCAAGAAGGACGGCATGAAGCAGGGTGCAGTCGGTGGTATCCTCAAGGAGCTTGGGTACGCTGAGGATCAGGTACGGCACATGATGCTGCAAGTATGGTCAGGCATTGATGAACTGACGACTCCTGTAGGTCTTCAAGTTCTAGACAGAGTTGACACCTGCGATGTGGTAATTGATGCTCAAATATATCATAATACAAGTGACAAGCGCCACCGTCTGATTCAAAGTGCCTCAGAGAGGCAGCCCTGCATGCCCGGACGTTCCGGAAATATTGGGTGCGCCCGTTTCTTATAATCTCCGCCTTCCTGACTGATTCGAAAGTTCTACTCGCCAGAAACAGCGCAGCCGACCGGTTCAAACGTGCCTTCGAACCCATTTATGATTGAAGCCGGCGTGTCCAACGCAGACTGATGAATTATCCCCACACTTGACTCTCTCAATATTAATTAGGAGACGAGTAGGTCCCGAAAGGGCTTGAGCCTGTTGAGAAGTGCATATAAGTGGTACCAACCCCATCCTCATCACAAAACCCCAGAACGTCTCTGAGTCCAGTGTCAGTATGAAATCCCTTTGGACTTCCCTTCTCACTGCTGTCACGTTTGCAGTCTCAGCATCTGCTGATTGCTCGTCGCTCGGTAGCGGAGCAAGCGACTCTTTCCCCGGTACCTTCCAGATCTCTGCGTACGACGCCTCTACTGGGACGACTACCCCGCTCCATCTGCTCGTCTTCATGACCGTTCCCGAGACGTCATTTCACGTACTCTCCGTGAGTATTTGTCCAGAAATCATGTAACTTTCGGTACTCATCGGACACCCGCCCAGACCGCGAGCAGCCCAAGCATCGCTTGGCAGGGCCTCGCCATGAGTAATGGTGTCATTGAGGCAATCCCTCCCGAGTACTATGGTGCAGCTGGGTCCATCGGCGCTGCCTATGTGAACCCAGAATATCCAGTTCCAACCGCTGGTCCTTTCCCTATGTGGTCCAATTCCTTCGTCCAGAACGAACTTTACTGCGCGATTGTGAGTCTGAAGCATGTCTGGATAGCATACGTGGGATACGAGCTGAAGTATTGCTGTAGCCGAACGCCGACGGGACTGCGGCCCTCGCATTGAACGGGTACGAGAGCCTCTTCTCGCTCTGCACAGCCTACATGTCGCAGACTACGCCGGAGGCCCCGGTGGTCCTGTATAATGCGAGCGCGAGCGCTTACGGAGACGGATACGAGACGTACGATGGTTCCAGTTGCAAACCTATCACCCTTCTGCTAGAGCCACAGGCATTGTCGTGACGGGTCTAGAGCAGATTGACTCGCAAGTTGCAAAACAAATGGAATGGGTGTGCTGTCTTATCTGGGAGTCGCAGTGCGCCGGAGTGTGAGCGGTCTGATGTGCTCGAACGGCTGCTCGGACTTCCGGAGGGATCTGCGTTTTTGACAGTATATCCCCGAGGAAAGGGTTGCCGTCGCGCGTATCTATCATCCTCAATCATTCAACTGTGCGTCCCTGCAGGGCATGAGATGCTTCGTGATCCCACTCACCGTGCGCCCGGCTTTCAGAGAACATTTGAGACAGGTCCTCGTTATGAGCGACGGTTCGATTGCAGAGATAGGCTGGTATTGCCGGCTGGTATTGTTTAAACGCACTGGTAGCAGTCTGTCCTGTGTATTACACTTCTGTCGATAGCTGACTGAACTTAAGGGTTAGACATCTAGTGACCATTCAGGAGAGCCGCCTAAAGAAGCGTCAGAAACGCACGCACAGGTACCCCCGCTGGATCCGACATGTCCAGCTGGACATACGTCAAATCAGCCCTCGAACACAGCTGAAGATGTCCACACGGTTCTCATGAGAACCTGTAAAGCCGCCTTGGCCCGCGTCGGTCGAGAATCCCCCCTCGGAGACAGCTGACCGTGCATAAAACCACAAGTGCCACGGCCGTTAACCTCAGAACTCTGCAGCTTCCCCAGCCAACAATATGTGTTCCATGTGGTGTTCTCTGCTCACCGCGGCTGCACTGTCCGCCTCTGCGTACGCTGTCTCGTGCTCGACGCTTGGAACGAGCGCGAGCGACTCTTTCCCCGGCCAATTTACCTTCTCGTTGGACTCCGCAACGGAGACAACGACCGCCCTCCACCTCGTCGCCTTCCTCACCGTCCCTGGCACTACTTATCATGCTCTCTCTGTATGTAGCGCATATTTCCTGCTTCCTTGGCATCTAATGTATGCCCGCTTAGACTGGCACAGCTCCGGCCGTCTTGTTCCACAATTTTACGATGACAGGCGGTCTCATCACCGCCGTGTCTCCCACTCCTGACGAGCTATCGCCTGCACAATCGCTCGGCGCTGCGCTCCTCGACAGTACGGACTTCGCCAAGCCCAACCAACCCACGGGCTTCCTCATGTGGATTAACACCCTCGCCCCTCCATCCGAGATATACTGCGCTATCGTAAGCCATCTCCTCTCTCCCCAGGACGTATGAAAGTGCTCACTCGTGTCGTAGCCGAGGGGCGACGGCACCGCGGTCCTCGCGTTGGACGGGCGCACGGACTTGTTTGCACTCTGCCAGTCCGACTTGTCCTCGACCGCGTCGAACGTCCAGGCCGTCGTGTACAACGCAACGCTGAACGAGTTTAGAGAGGGACAGCTGACGTACAACGGGAACACGTGCGAGCCCATCACGCTCCTTGCTGTTCCCCTGTAGAGCTATACGATAGCGGCTGGTCACGGAGCAGACTAATCTGGGGCATCTGATGTCTATCGAAAGACGAGTAGTGTTTTGCAGTGAGCTGCGACTCGGACGCATGAATCATGTCTCCGAACGGATGCTTTGTATGCCATTTGGAAGGCATGTTTAATGATCTGTGGTGTAAAAATAACGCGAATAATGCCTAGCAAAATTCCAGCCCAGCCTGAGTCAAATTTAGGGTTCACTAGGTCGTTTGGTCTGTCCTCTTAGTGCTCCGAGTCTACTATGCCCGCCACGTAAAGTTGTGTGACAGATTATATAACAGAACGTAATAGACAGCAGCTTATGTGTAATCGCACAAAGTATTCTGTAGCACATGCCATTTCTCTTTCTTATTTCGTCTCGATATGCCGCTTTGCGAAGCTTGAGCCGACAGTTTATGTGACGACTTCGGATGTGATCAGGCGCCACAAAGGGTAGAAGCCCCTCAGGCTAGAGTCCGAGACCCCATTCTGGACATGCTAAGTACTGTAACTCCTCACCGGTTACTCCAATATTCTACCTACTAGCTCTGGTTCCTCTGAGTCATGACTGGTGACAGCATCGTGGTTCAAGAAATCTACGATGGCCCGGGTATTATCATCTATTCTCCTGGGGAAGACAATGACTATCAGGTCGGCCTATATCTGCGCGGACCACGAGGTCCTCTTAGAGTGCGTCGAGCAAATGATGCCTCGCTCTGAATAATAATTCTGTGTATATTTGTGGCGTGCAACAATATTGCATTTGGTGGTACCAATAAATATGAGATCTGCGCGAGAAAGGAGTGAAGAAATTACAATATATCAGCGTACGGGCCTTAGACTCCGCACGTCGCGCGCGTGCTGAAAGCCGCCGACACGCCCGTCTGCGTCGTCTGTGTCGTCTGTGCGCCGGGAGACGGTGGTATTGAAGACTGGGAGTCGTGGCCGCGGTACGACGGCGGCGCGACGTTGATGCTTCGATCGTCGTCGATGAAGATCACGGACGATGTCAGCGGCGAGAGCACACGGCCCGTCGTGCTTGGCGACCCGTGCTCACCCGGGCGATTCGGGACGACCGGCATCTTCAGCGGGGGCTGGAACCCCGCGTGCTCAAATGTCTGCGTCGGAGACGCCATCGTGAATGGCTCAACGTGCCACCCGGATCCGGGTGACTTGGGCACCTCGTCATAGTTGTTGATACTCGGCGCCGTCGGGACAGCGTTGAAGGTCCGCCTGTGGTATCTGCGGAGAAACAGCGCGCCAAGGATGGCAAACACTACGACGGCAGCGCCGCCGATTGTTCCGCCGATGATTGCCTTGACGTCTAGCGACGACTTGTTTGAGTCACTCGCTCGAGGAGAGAACCCGATTGACTGTGTCCCGTTACGAGGGACGTTGAAGATTCTGCGTGGAACGGTTTCAGCGCCGTCGCTGAAGATATGACAAGGGCAAAACTCACAGATATACCGTGGAGAGGAACCGAGATCCAAACATGTATTGCGCCTGCTGAGGATCAGTCCAAGCCTCGATGCCACTGACGCATTGACCGTTGCTCATGGTGACGATCAGGCTAGATTGGTCTAGTACGAAGGTTTGCGAGCCCACGACAAGACCAAATGTGAACTGGGTATTGCATGGTAGCGTGTATGCCATGGATAGATTTCCTAGAGTCGAGATTCCTTGCTGTAGCTGAGCACCTGGGATAGCCGCATCTGGCATGGTTTGTGGATAATCAGGAACGCAGCGCATATGTCGTTCATTGTCAGTACTTACGAATCACGGCCGCCTGATCCTGCGGCACATATATATCGGTGTACAGTGGATCGAGGTCCGCGACGATTTGTCCCTTTGAGGACAGCTGGTTTGTTTGCGTACTAGCGACCCAGCCATCTAGGACGACAGTCCAGTCCGACGGGGGTATGCTTCCATTGTTCGCCCCCGCTGAGAAGTCCGTAGTTACCCAGGACACCTGGTTCGAGTTGTAGTACTCTGGATCTGGCTGGAGCAAATGCAAAAGGCCTGCATCGCTGCCAGCAAGCACCCCAGATCCTGATAAAGGCGATCCCGCCACAACGCCACCGTCCGGCGCGGGCGCAATAGCAGGGCTTCCTACAGCCATGCCAAACGTAAAGTTCGCTGCTGTCGGCCAAATCTGGAAATGTTGGCCGATCACGGAGTCCTCGAATGTCGGCTTGTATTCGCCCGGCGTCGTCGGCATGTTCTGGCGGTTCGTGCCAAGACCGATGATACCGGAGACATCCTTGCCGAGTTCAACGTTGGCGGCGGCCTCCAGGACATTCTGAGCTATGTCTTTGACGAGAATGACTGCAGCAGGAGCGCAGGGATAAGAGGATTGAAAGACAACGTGGTACATGGTGCGTACTTGTCTGATTGCTGTACGTCCAAAACGAGTCGCTTTCGTCGCTGATTGCGCACGCCTCCTTGATGACGGAGGTATTCGCTGGCTCTCCAAAGACGGCAGTGCTTGCATCGCTATTCACAACCTGTGCAGTTACAGACTTCGTCGCGTTGTACCTATGAGAACGATTGGCTATGAGTCAACCTCTAGGGCTTATATTGAACCTACAATGGTGGCCCTCCCGCTTGCATAAGAGTTCCACCGTCACTAGCGACATAAGTCATGCCTGTCCCAGTCGAGAACGTAAATGTGAAGTTTTGACGCCCCGTCCCATTCGACTACATGCGGTCGTAAGTGTCGAATGTGGTGAAACGCGAGAAAGTAACGACCCACCATGCTCACGTCCATGACATATCGCCCCGCGGAATCAAAATACAGCGGTATTTCAACCGCCGCGGGTGCGTCCCAGCCGCTGCTTGCCGCGTACACAGCCGTTGTCGCGAAGAGGGAGGAAATGACGAGGAGCCGGCGCGATAAGGGTTTCGGGGACTTCATGGTGGCCAAGAGAGCACCCAGCTGAGGCGACACCGTGCCGTTATATATGTTTCGCCCAAGAAGGATTTCACCATAAGCGTGTCGGGAAGATGGCGCTCGTACGCGTACCTTTCAAAATCGAGACCCGACCCTATTGGCGGCTCCACCTGAACCAGAGGAGCCTCTGGCGAAAAGCGATGTTTGATACCAAAAGCACCAAGACTGGATCCGGTCGGAGCTGCCTTCATGGGAGAGTTGGAGAACAGCTCGTAAGAGGCTCTGCGTCTATCCAGGCACGTTCAAATGACCTGGCACACAGGAGGGTAGTCAGTGATAATGATGTCGTGTATACGCTCGCAGGCAAACAGGCTGGACGGTGACGCTCACTCTCTCGTTGGCACAGTGCAAACAGCGGAAGGTTCAACATTGCACTGACATTGCATGTTTCGATTCCCGTCATAATTAATCTCGGGAAGGGAGGAGCACCTACAATCACCGCCGCTTCTGATAAGGCGCTTGTGTCATCATTGTGATTGCCTAGAGTCGTTAGCATGATACACATAAGGACAGTATCGTGATGGTACATAACGTACGTGCATGTACTCGTCGGGATACCGCAAGAGTCGCTGACTGTGAAGCCTCCGAGAACATCTACCCGCGGTGTGCAAGGAGGACACTCTCATATTGAGATAGCAACGGGGCTCTTGCAAGACATGCTGAGCCACCCTCCAAAACGCCATCCATCGTGACGAGAGGCAAACCGGTGGTACGATCCACGACCCCAACCCGACGCCAGCCAGAGTATGAGCACTTCAGAGTAACCTGAGGATCGATGGTGGGGTGAGTCGCAGGGAAGAAGTTTATTCAGGAAGTACTACTCCCTGACAGGCTCTTCGCTCGCACGGTAGTGCCGCAGACCACAGCATTAATATTCTTAAGTAGATATACCTGCGGAGGTTTGGACAAATTCGAGCTATTACCCATATCAACTCACACTTGTGGATACGAGACTGTCGCAACAATGTGCTGCAGAGGAGGCCTAAGTGTAAGAGCCCAGTGATTCCAGCCCGAGAGAAAGTGGCACAGCGCGCTCACGTGAAAACCACGTGCCGTTCGCGCATCTTCAGGCTGACGCGTCGCGAGACGAAAAGAGCTTCAACAGTGACGTCAACAACTGCGACGTCTCCAACACATCGACTCTCATGACAGACATAAGAGGTGGCAGAATGGACGTCATCAGGCAATCGTCTGTTTCATCTGTTCCAGCCGCCCACCATGCAGTCGTCAGGAAATTCGCACTTCAAAACCACGAGCCTCTTCAATGTCGAGGGTTGGGTCGTCCTCGTCACCGGCGGCGCGACCGGCATTGGCCTCATGATTGCACAGGCTTTTGCCAACAATGGCGCCCGCGTGTACATCGTCGGTCGCCGTGAGGAGGCCCTCGAAAACGCCGTCAAGACGTGGGGAAAGAACCTCGAGCATCCTAAGGGCCAGCTCATCCCTATTAGCGCGGATATTACCGACAAAGACTCGATAGAAACACTCGTGAACGATATCGGTAACAAAGAGAAGAAGCTGGACGTCCTTGTGAACAATGCCGGTGTCAGTCTTGGCACAAGCTCGGTTGAGAAGGGGCAGGAAAGCGCGGAGGCTTTGAAAGTGGAGCTTTGGAAGGAAAAGTGGGAAGACTGGGAGACAATTTTCAAGACCAACGTCATAGGGTGGGTATATGCGCCCTTTTTATCTAGCCTGCACCCGTAACTCAAGTATTACTTCTCAGATACTTCTTCACTTCTGTTGCTTTTCTGCCGCTGCTTTCTGCCGCGAATCGCCCCGACCACACGCCATGTGTCATCAACGTTTCGTCCATCTCTGGCATTACGCGCACGACACAGCACCACTTCAACTATAACACCTCGAAGGCTGCCACCATCCAACTCAACAACCTGCTTGCGCAGGAATTCAGCCAGCCAGGTGTGAAGGTCCGCGTCAACTCAGTCGCGCCTGGTATTTTCCCGAGCCAGATGACGAGTAAGTATCTTGCGCAATTGTTCTCTGGTGTGTACTCACATACACCCTATGTAGCGGATAGCAAGGACGAACAGAACAAGTCGCAAATTCCTGCAGGCAACGATTATGGCGAGAAGAAAGGAATACCTGCTAGTCGTCCTGGCGCCGAAACGGACATGGCTCAGACTGCATTGTACATCGCCTGCAACCAGTATCTCTACGGCCAGGTGTGTGAAACTTTTTCGCCAACATTTCCGGTACTTATCAGATACCTTAGACCATCGCGGTGGACGGTGGATACCTCCTGAAACACCCATAAGTAATAAGCATCGCAACTACAGTCATTTGGAACGGTTGTGTAGTGACATAATGAATCCTGACTTGATGCAGCGTGTATGCACGAATGCTAGAATTCAAGCTCATCTACTCACATTTCTTACCCACCGAAAATGTTGAGAAATGGCACGCGACGACGGTAGGGAGGCCAGTTCATCTCCTCCACCCCTGCCGTCAACCCACAAACAGTGCATTGCACTGCGGCAGGTAGCTTAAGCTGACTGCGACTCGATATTCGGCACGATTCGGGGCCCACGCGAAAAGAAAGAGCTACAATACGCATGGCTGATAATCCAGATAAGGAAAGGATAAAGCCGATTTCGGTTCGGCGCCAACGCCTCACGCCTCCGGTACCGTACCGACGCGTCTGCTCTCGTCACTGATATGATGAGCATCTCCCTTCCAGCCTTACCCATGGATTCGTCCTACCACAAAAAGCGGTGTCGAGAAGAGTGCACGGGACCGGAGAGGCACAGCCAACTCTGGTTTGACGACGGCAACATCGTCCTGCTGGCAGACAACCTGGCGTTCAAGGTCCACCGCAGCCTGCTAGGCAGACACTCAATAGTGTTCAAGGATCTGTTCGAATTGTCTCAACCATCGGCATCCGTCGATGAGCAGATGGATGGCGTCCCGCTTGTGAAGCTTCATGATTCTCCTCACGAGCTTGCTGATCTTCTGGACGTGATATACAATGGCACGAGGTAGGCTTCTTCTGCCAAACAACACGGAACCACTACCGACATTGTTTTGCAGATTCTTCAGACGAGAGCCCGAGAAGCCTTCATACTATCTCATCCAGTCGCTTCTCCGTCTCGGATCGAAGTATGAAATTGAAGACCTGCGTGCCGAGGCCCTGCGCCACCTCGAACTCGCCCTCCCTGGAGACTCTCAACTTTGGGACAAGGCGAACAAGGAGCCGCCAATCAAATACGATGCCTTAGCCTTCATCTCGATGGCAAATCTCACAAGGGAGCTTGGTCTCAGCTCTCTGCATCTGCGCGCGCTGTACAAGTGCGCCCAACTCCCCACGCACCTCGTTGTCAACGGCATCAGCACCCCTCATGGGACGACGGAGCGCCTCTCGACCGAGGACGTGATCCTCTGCATGGATGCACGCTCGAAGCTGTCTGCCACCAAGCTGCAGATAATGGACGACATCGCGTGGGCGTGGCACGCGTACGCCTGCGATGCGCATGTGGTCAACTGCACGATCAATCGCAAGAACCTCGCGGCGCGCAGACACTCGAGCCTGTGGAAGTTCGACGCGGACCCCCTCCAGCCGCCGGACGAGTGGCTGGTTTGTGCCACTCAGGCGATAACGCAGACCCCGTTGTGCCAGCGGTGCGTGGATAAGCTCAAGACTTTCGTCGAGCAGCGGCGTATTCAGATCCTCTCCGACTTGGAGGGTTATTTCACGTATCATGTCGGTTGAGTGGCGAGCACGAGCACTTCTTTCTGTTGGATTCGCCTTTTATATTGGACTCATCCTGGATTTCAGTCTACCTTCGAGTTATAATGTATACAGCAGACTAGTGATTGGCGATCGAACTAGCCTACGGGACTACTAATTATTCGCTTTCAGTATCACTCTCAAAGCATGTGTCCAGCTGATTCGTTGAACAATGCAATTAGTTCATGCCCTGCATCGCGCCCTCCATGAGCCAGCTGAAGCTTTCGGCTCCAGGCTTTTCAGGCCCGTGCTCGCAGTGCATAAATCCAGAGTCTGAGAGGTGGGAGCTAGCTATAGTTGGTGTAATCGTCCGACATTTCAGTAGTTGTGAACGTTCTTAGTGATGTCATAAACTCAGTCACGGCTTGACTCTCGATGAGTTCCCCAGGCATGATATATTATAGGGGCCCGTTGCTCACGTTGAACTAAAGTACGTGTACACAGGCCTTTTGAACAGCTCGGTGCCGTGACAACACCATTGACATAGATTTCCTACCTCCCGGACCCGTCTGATCACCCAAGGTGGACGCCAGATCAATCCGAGATCCGAGTCCCACCAGCGTCTAGCCTTCCCCGCACTTCGTTAGGGCGTAAAACCATCTCAGGTCCGCCTTCCTCGCCCACATCTCTCCCCCCACCATGTTACAGCGTACAGCGACAGCTCGTCCTCTTCCACGACTCGCCGGCGGCGCTGCCGTTGCAGCCAGCCAGATCAATGGACGCGTTCACGGCCGCCATGCAAGTCCAGTGAGCATATATCGACGTAATGCCTCCGGTTTACGTTCGCTTTCCGCGGCGTCGATTGGCACCCAGAGACTGTTGAGACAGGATGTTCGGAGAGTCAAGGGACTTGCTACTGTCGCTTGTGCGCGGCTTCAAAACCCCTACCACTGCTGTTGACTGACCCTCTAGGACAAGACTCGCTTTCTATGCGGAATGCTCACTTTGACAAGATTTTGATAGCGAATCGGTGCGTATGTGTGCAAATATCTTCAGATTTACAAATACTGACGTCAGGAATGGAAGAGGAGAGATTGCATGTCGTGTCATTCGCACAGCGAGGAAACTCGGTATTAAGACAGTCGCGGTCTACTCTGATGTCGACGCGAACTCAATGCACGTCCAATTGGTACGGCCCACGATGCTTACTTTCTGTACGGACGATTTGCTGATTCTAAGGAAGTAGGCCGACGAAGCGTACTGCATTGGACCCGCACCTTCGGCTGAGAGTTATGTACGTTCCGAGCAAAATGGTACGCGTTTCGAAAGCCTCTGACGGAGGCTTTGTCTCGCAGCTCCGCATGGACAAGATTGTAGATGCCTGCAAACGCAGCGGCGCTCAGGTTAATCATTCTCTTTCTATCCCGCACCCTCTTCTGACGTGCAGTGTTCCAGGCAGTGCATCCCGGCTATGGTTTCCTGAGCGAGAATGCGAAGTTCGCAGAACTGCTTGCAAAGGAGGGTATCGTCTTCATCGGGCCTCCTGCTAGCGCCATTGTTAGCATGGGATCCAAGAGGTATGTGGTCCTATTGCAAGCGATGAATATCAGTCTCCTCAGCTAATATGCGTGCCCAGCGAGTCTAAGAAGATTATGGAGAATGCTGGCGTTCCCGTCGTTCCTGGATACCATGGCGAGAACCAAGACCCTGGTTTCTTACTTGAGCAGGCCAAGAATATTGGTACGTATCTTGTCTTCACATTCTCTGGTACATCTGCTAACCACCTTTCTACAGGATTCCCTGTCCTCATCAAGGCTGTTCATGGAGGAGGTGGCAAGGGAATGCGAACTGTTTTTTCAGCTGATGCCTTCCACTCAGCTCTCGAGTCCGCGCAGCGCGAGTCGCTGAAATCTTTCTCTTCGCCCGCGGTCCTCGTTGAGAAGTTCGTCACTACTCCTAGGCATGTCGAGGTACAAATATTTTCAGATGCGCACGGCAACACGGCCTGTCTCTGGGAGCGCGACTGCAGCGTACAACGCAGGAATCAGAAAATTATCGAGGAAGCACCTGCTCCCGGACTCAGCGAGGAAGTAAGGGGCAGGCTTGGTGAGAAAGCTGTGGAAGCTGCTCGCGCCGTCGGCTACAGAGGCGCTGGAACGGTTGAATTTATCTTCGACTGTGACAACGGAGAATTTTACTTCATGGAAATGTAGGTTGCCTCTCCATATATGTGCTACGAAGTTAAGTGACGCGATATGTGTAGGAACACCCGTCTTCAGGTCGAACATCCCGTCACGGAGATGATCACCGGATTGGATCTGGTGGAATGGCAACTCGAGGTAGCAGCTGGTAATCCGTTGCCCCTGAAGCAGTCCCAAATTCCGCTAGTTGGTCACGCTTTCGAGGCGCGCATATACGCAGAAAACCCTCGTAAAGACTTTCTACCTGACTCTGGCAATGTTGTACATCTTTCCACTCCGGAGCCTACGCATATCTTTGCACCTCCATTGCCAGCTGCAGAGCCTGCCGACGTCACTCTTGCGTCCACATCGTCGGAGGCGCTCTCTCGTTCGGTACATATTCCCTCACCGGCCATCTCCCCCAGCACGCGCCTCGAACAGGGCTTTACTGCTCCGGGCACGATCGGAGTGTTCTATGATCCAATGATTGCGAAGCTGGTGGTGCATGCTTCGACACGAAATGAGGCCTTGCGTGTCCTTCGTAAGGCATTGGAGGAGTACAGGGTCGTTGGTGTTAACACCAATGTTGAGTTTCTGAGAGCACTTGCAGGCCACGAAAGCTTTGAGAAAGGGGATGTGGAGACTGGGTTCATTAAGGTCTGTCGCTCTCCGTTACCAGCATACCACGAAACTGACAATAAGTTACGCTACAGAGACACTACGATAGTCTTTTCCCTGTAATCTCCGAGCCATCTTCGGAAGTGTTGGCTCAGGCAGCTCTCTTCATAGTCCTCCGTGACCATCCAGTTCCAACGCCAAGCGCGTTGAGCTCGCCATGGACAGCGCTCGCTTCTCGACGCTTTGGAGGGGACGTCTATGACCGGGCCATCACCTTCGAGAATGCTCAAGATGCTGCAGAGGGAGCAGAAGGCGAGGTCGAAGTGAAGGACTCGGAGCGGATCACCGTTCGCGTCAAGAGTCTCAGTGGTGGTCTCTTCGACGTCCGCGTCAAGACCACCCAAGGCGAGAAAGTATACAACGATGTCAGCGCGCAGCTGCTTTCACCCACTACCCTCTCGTCCACTCTTGACTCGAAGTCGCTTCGAACGACGATTGTGTCGCAGGCACCGCCGCCATCGTTGCCTGCTTCCCGAGCACCCAACGCAAACGAACGTCTGCACGTCTTCTCATCAGACGGCTCCTGTTCGGGTCTAAAGACCACGCTCGTCGTACCCTCGCCGAACTGGCTCATATCGCTGGGCTCGGATGTCCTGTCCGCATCATCTGGTGGGGCAACTATCAAGGCACCAATGCCGAGTGTTGTCGTCGAGGTGAAAGTTCAGGTCGGGCAAATGGTCGAGAAGGGCGACCCAGTCGTCGTTCTGGAGAGTATGAAGACGGAGACCGTGTTGAGGGCAAGGAAGAGCGGTGTTGTCAGAAGTGTCGGGTGCGCTAAGGGCGAGATGGTTCCTGAGGGCAAGGTCTTGGTTGATTTCGAGGAAGAGGCGAAGTAGGTGGAAGCCTGACTTCGACTCCTGAGCGTCATCGTGGATCATTGGAGGCTGAAGAGGCTGGATATTGTTTTGTATAATAGAGACCAAATGGACTGCTAGCGTTATCTAATGTTGGGCTTCGTCAAATGATTTGGGCCCGCTAGACCAACCGTGTTCCCAACGGGCGCCACGAGCCGCAGTTAGTACTTATGCAGCTGCTACGCGGTCTGCTCCTTCTATCAAGCCTACACATACCTCGGACCCTTTCGTCATTGCCCACCTGCCCTTCGCATCTTTTCTTATTGACACAGAAAGCCTCTGCGCTTGGATTCTGTCCATCGAGAACCATCATGTCTACCGATCCGCAAGACCAGCCCGGCACGTCCGAATGGCTCAGCAAACAACTCACCACTCTGCTTAACTCCCCCCACATCCACTTCACGCAGCCCAAAATCCCGGGCCTGCAGATTCGGATGGGTCCAGGGCCCATCGATCTGTTCAGCACGCGTTTCGCTAACATGTTCACGACAGACGTGTCAGGCGTGCTTGGCGGTCAGGAGGTGGACAGAGACGGTTTGAAGCAGGGGTTACTGGCCCTGCAGAAGAAGCTGAACAAAGATAGTGTGCAGAGTCAGGAGGCGCAGAGTGCTGAAGGATACCAGGCGAGCAGGACTTGGGAAAGTCCTTTGTGAGGACTTCGCTGACCATCTTGGCTTTGTAGACTGCGACCACGATGTTCTTCACGGCCAAGGATAGTGGCACTCAGATTGAGGTCTCTGCCTCTGCATCGTATGTTCTCTTCGATAGCTCTGCAAGCCGCAATGCTAATGTCATTTTGGTGCAGACTGCGCGAACAGGGCGGGGCATCGCGGATTAGTGCACTACGTCTGGACGGCGACTCCTCTCTCTTCCAGTGACAGCCGAGTAATTTGTAATCAATGGTAATGGAATATGGTAAATAAATGTATACTGCATCACATCCTGAAGGACTCATGTAGTCAACAATATTATCTGGATTTCTACGCATTTGTTGCTGTAATGCCTCGCTGCATACCTGCGGAAGTGACGTCACGGAACTTTTTGATGCCGCGGAGAAAGCCGAAGAATTCCAATTAGGCAGTCGTAGCGGCGATTGCGGCTTTCTTCAACCATCTCCTCGCCCGAGGCGAGGCTTGCTCCCAAATGTCAGGTTCGGTCCATTCTCCGATCTGTATTGATAAAAATCCTAACATAGTGAAGGGAGGGGTCAATATTTCAAAAATCTTTACGGCAAAGGTCGTGGAAGACGCGGCAACACAGGTGCCAGAGGCTACCATGCTGGCGGTTCATTTGCCACTCAGAGGGGAGGACCGCATGCGGAAAATGCAGAGGATGGCACCTCTGAGTTTCGTAACGCCGGTAAGATTCTATGTTCTGTATTATCTTCTCATGCAAACATATTTGTTGCCGTAGAACAGCAACTTGGCCCTAGTAGAGGACAAAAGCGCAGGCGTGAAGGTGTGAAAGCGACTGCCACATAGCAGCCTTTGTTGGCTACTAATTGTTCTTGTACGGATAAGACTTTCGGGGGACCATTCAAGACCTTGTTGGTCTTCTGACAGAGCTGAACGCAAGAAGCTATTCCGCTTATCGCGATATACAGGGTATATCCCGTTTTTTTACTCACCCTTGTATTCCTGGCTTTACATCTGCTCCCTGTAGGTATCTGGAATCTGAAAGATAGCTCCTTATCGGCAGAGTACATCCAAAACGATCCTTTTGCTCCTCCGAGCAAATTTTGCTTGCGCGTGCCGCACGCCAATGCACGATATCCCTCTTCGATGTATGATAATCCCATACGGTATGTGAATCATTCCTTCTTCTCTCACTTCTGATCTAGAACCTACCGACGATAATCGCTAGGACGACCGCCCTCTGTGATTTCCTTGCACGTTCTTTATACACCACAATCTCGAGGCTCTCACCCAGGTTTCCGACCTCATCGTCCTCAACCAGCTGGTCTGCCGCTAAGGGCGGCGTGATATCAGCTGATAAGCCTGGGCAGCAAGTACTTCAACGATCATCTGTGATTCTCGACGGACATGGTATCGAGGCCCGCTTCACAATCAGCCTACCCGCCCAGAGCAGAACAATCCTCGGCTATGAGGCCGCTTCATTATTTAAGGAACAGGTGCCGAGATTAGAAAAGAGCCTAATGTTTTCAAGCCACGATCCCAGCGAGCTAGCAGAGTTCATTGACTGTATTGAGGATCAGCACGAGCTCACAAAGCAGCTCCGGGATTCTGGCAGGTTTCCGGCGTGTCCTTCATTCCTTAGTTATGCTAATCTAGTTTATAGGTCTCGTTGCCTTCGTTATTAACGGGGCTATTCTCCCCCGCGCCAGTGGCATTTCCGACCTTCCCCTCAATCCCTCGGAGAAGCTTGCCGTTCCTTTCCAGTCGCCACCTTCACTGTTGAATAGCTTCTACCTTCCTCATCGAGGCAAAATAGAAGGAATGGGGATATCCAAGGGCGTTACGATGATTGCCGGTGGGGGATTCCACGGGAAATCAACGCTGTTGGATGCCCTCGCGAAAGGATGTTACAGCCACATACCAGGAGGTGAACTACGATGTTCTGGCTTCATCGACACAGGCTTATTGAAATGGAGCAGATGGCCGAGAGTTTGTAGTCACATCCCAAAATATTGTCTCCGTACAAAGCGAGGACGGACGCCCAATTCGAAATGTTGACATTTCTCCTTTCATCGACCAGCTCCCTGGCCATGTGACGACAAACTCGTTCAAAACGGAAGATGCCAGCGGCAGTACAAGTATGGCTGCCGGTGTGATCGAAGCCCTAGAACTTGGGGCGGATACTCTCCTTTTCGATGAAGACACCTGCGCCACGAACTTCCTGATCCGGGATACGAGAATGCGGAAATTAATCAAGACGGACCCAATCAATCCCTTAGTCTCCAACGTGTGTATGCGTCCTACGATATGTGCGTTCCAGCCGTGTTCTAAATACAATATTGCAGGTTCGTGCCATGCTCCGTGACCACGGTTGCTCATCGATATTGGTCATCGGTGGTTGTGGTCAGTCTGTTATCCAAGCCAGACGAGACGTATTGATGGCTAAACGCGCATAACCCTCTAGGCGATTACTGTGACGTCGCTGATCTCGTGCTCGAAATGCGTGACTACGGCTGTTATGATATCACTGAAGAGGCTCGTAGGATCGCAGAAGAGGTCCCTTCTGTGGTCACTCAGTACGAAGGTAGAACACTCTTCACTGATTCCTCTTCCTGAGCTGACTGTGATTCTGTTGTGCAGCGCCGACATTCCCGCAGACTCGATCGCGACATATCCACTTGCCCAGTTTACCAACAGACCGCGGCAAGCTTACTGCGCGGAAAAATGGCACAGTTGATATCTTGCATGACATCTCGAACCCATCGAGCTTGCAAGAGACACTTGACTTGCGCGCCCTCGGACAACTGGTGTCTGACAGTCAGACAAGAGCTATAGCGAGTGCTCTCAAGGCCCTCCCAGGAATCATCAGGAGTCGGGACGTTCTCCACATCCTGCACAAGCAAGTGAACGATAGCTCGGAAAGTGACGAGGTTGGGGAAAGGCAATCCGATCCCGAGGAGAGTTCGTCAGATAGTACGAGCAGTCGGGTCAAGCAGTGGACGACCCTCAAGAAGGCCTTACGCCTGCTAGATCGAGAACTTGGTGAACGCGGGCTGGATCAGATCATGGAAGATGGGAAGCTCGATCCGTTCTTGGCTCGACCAAGGGCGATTGAAGTTGGGATGGCTATAAATCGCTTGGCAAGTATAAGCCTCGTTTTTGTATCACCGCCTTGTACTGAACTCGTCCCCCGTAGCGGTCTGTCAGCTTGAATTACTTCACTACAGTTGAGGACACAGCGCCAAGTTCAAGTGACAAGACGAAATGATGAAGAGGAGTGTGATAGGGTAATCACTGCAATTCTCTATCCAAGATTGTACCGCGTGGAAAATGAAAATTTCCAGGGATGAAGCCCAGAGCGTTGGAATGAATTCTGTGCACGCTCGTTTCTAACGCCAACTTGCAGTTATTACCTGTTGAGTTTACTGTACTTCACTCAGAGCTATACTTTGCAGAAGCTGATCCAGGAAGACAGTGCTGGCACCACGAATAAATCTATGTGCGAACGTCAGCTTGCCCATTGGGAGACTACTCCAAACCGTCGCTGGCCCTGGTTTCTCGTTTTAAACACTCGAAATTATACTATTAGCGACCACCTGTGGAGTAAGTATGAGCGATTATGTATAAGGACTCGTGCGTAATAATATACATGTGCGTTATATGTACGGTAAACAGTTTGCAATACATACTGCGAAGCACATCCATCAGAAGTTGAGCAGCTCTGTAGGTGGATCATATGCTCGAGGTATCAAACCTGTGCACAGTCTGTATGACATCCAAATTTTTGCGAGCAAAAACAAGCTGCCGGACCTGGTCAGCATCCCGTAGTCGAACCTCGTCGGGAACACTCACCATGTAAGGATTGGCTGTAGATCCAGTGGTATCTCCGAACACCTCATCTTTCGAGACGAGGGTCACGTTAGAATCGTTGTACTTAAACCACTGGTCAGGATGGTCCGGAAGGTTCCTTGAATAGAAGAAATAATGTCCGAATGAAGGAGACGATCCACGATGGATGAAGACTGAAGTCAGCTCGTACTGAGCTTCGTTATCGTTCTTCCAAAGATCTTCGAGCTCTTGCTTGAGCTTGCTGGCGTTCCCGCGCTCACGCTCAAGCTGTGCTGTGACGTGTGACTGCTCATCTTTCAGACGCGAGACAAGCTCGGTCGTTGCTTCTGGAAGCTGAAGCGTGTCCTGCCTCGATAGGAAGTCCGCTGCTGCGCCAAGTGCGGGGGCGTACGGAGCATGCTATCAACTGCGTTAGTAGACCAATAAACACGTATGAAGGATGATACTTACCTTCCCCTGCGTGAAGCGCTGAATGCGGTCTCGAGCAGCGTTGAGCTTCACCTGGATATCCTTGGTTCTAGCTCTCTTCTCCGGATCTGCGCTGTCGAGGAATCGGTCCATGCAGAGAGTCTCATCGAACTTCACATAAGCCTGCGACTTGTATGCTTGCTGCGTCTCGCGATCAAATTGCACCCGCTGCGAGGCCACGTAAGCATACTTGCTGAGTGAGCATTCATAGACGACTGACCTGGAGTTGGATCTGAAGCAGTGGCGGTAGATCCACAAGAGTAACCTCCATACGTCTCTTGACACCGTCCAATTCAACGATGTCATCGAAGTACCTGCCCAGCCCGTCGTATAGGTCGAAGCTCTCGTCCGAGACGTTCAAATGCAGATGCGAGAACAAGTCCTCCTTCTCATGAGTAGTAGAAGACTTTTGTTTCTTCGCGTCTGCATCTGTCAGGGGTGTGAGCAGTTGCCGCTTCTTGCCATAGAACAAGCTAGCAGTACAGTCCAATGAGTGAATGCGGCGGCGTAAGTAGAATGTAGATTTACCGTTTGATTACACTTGTCTTATCGCTTTGCGAACCAGACAAGCCTTGGTCTTGGAAGTTCAACAAAGCAGTCTCGATCTGGAACATGCAGTTATCCATACACTCGGAGACGTCATGTTGACGGCCTGTACCACAGTCAGCGAACTGTGTTGTTCATCCGAGAATTTAGCGCACCAAACATCATGCCCGTGTCGCTCGTAGTGGCAGCCTTCCGCGGTGGCAGTGGTGGCGGCTTCCGCTCCTGACTATCCTTCATTACCACATCCTCCTTCTCAGTAGTCTTGTGCTTCGACGATGAAGCTTTCCTTTCTGGAGTAGACCGCTCGGATTCCCTCGGGGGCGTGGACGCCTTCGAAACCATGACATAGTCCTTCTCGCCTTCGCTAGTCGTGATGCCCTCCATATCGACATCCGGTACCCGGCCACGGTTGCGCTTGCCGAGCACCGATGGCGATGGAGGCGTTCTTGGGGACTTCGGCGATGGAGATTTAGACTTCGGAGACTTCGGAGACTTCGGCGAGCGAATGGGAGAGGGTGATGAACGTCGCATGGTACCATCATCAACCAACGTGGCATCTGTATCGTTCGACGTGTCGGTACCAGCACCTCCCTGATCGTCTTCCTCCTCGTCTTGTGTTGTCACGAGAGCAAGCTTGGCAAGATCCAAGGTTGGTGTAACCGCAGCTTGGTCGCTATATTCCAAGTTCCTGAAAAGGTCCGCCAATTGATGAACGACTGTCTTTACATGAGACATATGGACAATATTTGAACTATTACAGAACGTACACTTCTTGGACCGGACGATCTCTCTTCTTGTAACCAACCGACCGCCAACTCGGTGGCGTTTGAGGTCGTCGTCAGTGAACTTATCCATGTCTAATGACTTCTCGCTAAGCGGTCCAACGGCGTCCCTCAAGTCCTTGATAGTGTAGAAGTACTACCAACGCAGTAAGCATCCAGCCACTACCACCAACCAGGATTATGCACACCTGAAGCAGCGAATTGAGATAACACGTGTTCCCCAGTTGGTTGAGTCCACGGGGCATGTCCAGCCTAGTTTCGCTGGTCACGTCTCCGGCTATTTCGGGAACGTCAAGCCATGTCATCAATGGAATCATGAACTAAACTCACGATCTCTGCCAGTTTCCAGGAACTTGCGCAGCCGCTCACTATCCGTGGCTTCCATGATGACGGTGAGAGCTTCCCGCATTCGGTCCGCTTGCGACGGCTGGTCTTCAACCTAGCGAGAGTAATCAGAAAAAAGAACCTTTGCAAATTTGGGTGACCGCAACTTACCCGCATAGCATAGATAGCAAGAAGCATGGTCTCGTCGACGTCCCTTGGAACATCCAGAGTCGAATACGCAGTGTCGGGCGCCATACCCGAGCCTTTACCCATTTCCCAGGCTTCTTGCAACCTCACACTTCCGCACAAGTCCGCGATAACTTTGAACGCTTCGATGAGGTCCGCCCTCGCAGATGCAGCGTCCGGTTCTCCCCAAACGCGCTTCATGGCATCCTTCCATGCCCCGATAATGAAGTCCTCGTCGGCATCCGCAAGTTCAACGCCCAGAGGCCCAGCCTTACCGAAACCCAGCAGTACCTCGGCCCTGTCAAGGTCGGTCCACGTGAAGCGATGTCGAGACTTCTCCTCTGCAAGCATGAGGTCCAGACTGTCTGGTGGGGGCACGCCACGGTTCTTCATAATTTCAATGATCTGAGCGAATGCGGTGAAGTAGTCGGGGGTCTTCTTAGGATCGCAACGACATTGCGCAAAGTAAGCAAAGGCGAGGAGTTCTGAAAGAGCCGATTAGAGACAGTGTCACTTCATATTACTTGATAAACTCACCGGGAGAGTAAGATACCGGACTCATTCCGAGCGTTTGCCAACATGGCTCCAGCTCTGGCAATCCGATTAGCGGCTCTGGTAGTACACCAGGTGCAACTGTCTATGGAATGAGAGCCCTGCTACTCCGCAATATCTTGCGACGTACGCTGATTAATATGAGCTCCGATGCCAGTCTGGTACATGTGCGTTGCATCTTCGACAGACGCATTGATGTGCTGGCCATGGAAGTCGGAGTTATCTTCTGTTGGACGCTTGAGCACTGTCGCGCCGACATCTAATGCTCAACTTACTCGGGCGGGTCTTATTGTACAGTGTGAGCCAGGTGCTAGCTTCTACCCATGCACGAAGCAGCTTCGCGCGGTTTCGCTTGCCCTCGGGCGTCGCTGTATCAATAGACGGGGGATTAAGAACTTGGCCATCATTCTGAATAGGCTCCGCCTTGAAATCTAGGACTTCAAACACTCGACGGCTTGGGACAGCGGTAAGCTGAGAGTGTTTTGCCCAAAGAGCAAGGACTTACACGGAGGCATTCCATCCGAGTTTGCTCTGGAACTTGTGTCGTGTGACAGGTAACGACCTGCTCTCGCCACGCCACAGTCTATTCTCGAGGATACTGTGTATACACAGAAAAATACGTATGCATTTAATACCGCGGATGACATACAAATAGCATCAAAGACGAAGACATACGTGATGACAGTCTCGAAACCAGTGACCACCGCAATCTCTCCAGTCTTCCCAAGTGGCGGATGCTCAAGCTTGTCTCTGACGAAATCTTCTAGTACCCGTAAAGGCAAGACGCCAGGGATTACCGGCGAGACCAGGCAGTAGACCGAGCATTGGCAGCAGAGATAGAGATCAAGTAAATCAAGCTCCTGGGTCTCCTCCTTCTCAGCAGCAGCCTCCTTAACATCGTCGTCTAGATGCAGGGTCATTTTTCGCCTTCGTTGCTTGCGAATAGCTTCTGTTTCCCACTCACTTCTCTTGAAGGGGGTAGTGAGCATGCGTGCGTCTACAGCCTTCTCATACTTGTGGAAGTGATGTGTCACATTCGCTCTTCCGACAGAGTGTTCTTCGTCGCCAATGCATGAACTAGTGCGTTTCCGTCTCGTCTGATCAGGGAAGGCGTATGTAGGCTTGAAGGTGGGCGAGATGGGAGGAAGTACAGACGAAGAGCACCAAGAAAGAAGCACCCAGCCGTTGTGCTCCTTGCAGTAGTATGCATGCGGATGGGGAACGGCGGTATGTATTTCATCAGCGGTCGGAGGCGAGGATGTAGCCGCAGTTGGTGGGGGACTACTAGCTGCGGAGGGTGCTTTGGGGGGCGGAGCAGACGCGCTTACAGAATAGAGCGTGTGGTGTGGATGATGAAGGACCTCAGCAAGAAGAGGGGGTAACATGCCAGGTCCCGGTCGCCTTCTTTGTACTTCCTTGTCCCACCACTTCTGCTCCTCCTCGTCATTCCGATCATCTATGTCCACTCTATTCGACCACCGGTTGTCCCAAGACTGCCAGCTGCCAACAGGCCCCAAGTTGTCCCACGTGGTGGTTCCGGAGTCGCCCCATGGCGTGAATGGCTCAAGAGATGGAATTTGCTCTTCGTGTGCGAGTGGTGGCAGGTCTGCGATCAGCTCTGGCTCGCGGAAGGTGTCTCTAGGCTTGTGGCTGGGCGGCGGAGAACCAGAAGGAGGCACATACGTCGTATGAGACGATCCGGCTTTCGACTTCGAGGATGAACCCGCGTAGAAGCTCGCCACAGGCACCGGTGCGTCCAGAGGTCGTGGCTCCTTCGGGAGCGGGCGATGCGCTTTGGGGCTATGATTCTCTTTCTCCGGGGAGGACTCGCTGGAATCAGAAGCTCTGCGGGCGGGAGGTTTAAGGGCGGGCGGCGAACGAGAAGGTGTGCCGCTGGTCATGTCTGTGAGATGAAGGTGAGGGAGAGGTGCAATGAGATGCGTGAGCCACGCGGCGAGCGCGTACACTCGATTATTGCTGATAACTTCCCGACTTGGTCAGACAGCCCATAATATTGATAATGCGCTAGCGTACACGTGCCCGGATAACCGAGGTGCATCGCGCACAATATTTAGACAGTGACCGCGGTTATACACTCCAGTTGAAGCTGAGAACTTCACTCGCTATCGCATTAAGACACCAATTGAACCGTACTCACGTTGCATCTTCATGGCTTTGGAATCTCCGTGATCTGCCGCACTCGACTCCTGCCTCGGATAACTCGCGGCTGAAATTACATGCTAGACGGTGCTGTCCTCTAGAGTAAGATGACTGGAGGCTAAATTGCTGTGACCTGAGGTGAGATGCGTTCAAATATACCTCCGAGACTCAATAGTCTTTCTCCACTACATCAGATATCGGACACAAAGACGGGCAACCATAGTGTACCGGATCCCGTCGTCGTAAAACCAATTTTCGACAGTCATTTTCGTAATCACATCTACTACGCACACAGAGTTTCGTGGCTCGTCGGCGTCGTGTCATTGATGCATACATGTTGGGCTTTAACGCGACGTGGGTGTATTGCACGGAGTAAGCTCGAGACATTGTGTTCTAACTCTCGGCACCTCTCGCCAACGCCTCTTGAGCCATGGCGCTCAATCTCCCACCAGAACAACGAGATGACTTCTTATCTCGCGGATGACCCAGTAAGTTCGGGATCTCCTCCCTCTTATCGCAACGGATACTCTAGTGTTGGCCTTGGCCAACATTTGCCATCATACCTTTGACACTGTTAGACACCTTTCTCAAGACAGCGTCGCCCAACTAGCCCACATGAGAACCTGCGGCTTCGAATGCGAAGTGCACAGGCGACGCACGTTTCCTTAAACTAAATCAGACACCACGTTTTAGCAGATTGCGTAGTCCACTGTTCACTATACGGACGAAGACGCACGCCATTCAAGCTCACGCGGAGCCCTAATTTCAAGACTTTGTCCTCGACTCGCGCAACGCTAACTAAAATAGCTGAGCTTATTCCACGAGCAACTAACTCTCGTACAAGAGGAGCTCGGCCGCCTGGGGGGAGAGGGTCAAGGCTTGTGCTAGAGAGCATCCGTCGAGTAAATACACGCGTATCATGCTGACTTCCTTTGTCACCCAGGGCAATTCAGACTATCAATGTATCGTTGAATTTTAAGATAATGTGACAAGACGTGTCCAAGTCGTAAAGGGCGCAAGGACCGACAGGCCTTGCGAATTCTACAGCAGGATACAATCCAAGAGTCTAAATAGTCCGGTTTCAGGAGAGCTGGCACCGCCAGAGACGATAAGTCCATGTTCATGGAGGGTAGAAAGATTACAATGATGCACGGTGATGAAGGGAGTCCATGACAGAAAGCAACGAACGGTAGATGAAAGGTCCGATGATGACAAGGGGACGTCTATGGATGTTTAACCAATACAAAAGTTCAAACCAAAGTCTGTCCACGAACTGGAGAGGGAAGCATGCTCAATAGGTCCAAACGCATGACTTGCCATCCAACGAAGGTGTGTAGCCCTTCGTGCATGAGTCTATGCGGCATTGACCAACGACGCAAGACACAGCATGCGCGCCTTTGATAGCGGTACAATCGTACCTGGCATCGGAGCGAGTACGGTCAGCGTGTGGGTGCGATAGGGCAATCAGACAGCACTCACTTGGTATCAACGCTCCCGCATCCACCACACGAGGTGAGGTCCTCAAACGTGTCCACACACTCGAACCCATCCCGAATCCACTCCGTCAGAGTCGTCGGCGACGACTGCGCGTCAATCGAACATACGCGCATCGGCGTCGGGCAGAGCTGCTGCGAGATGGCCTCCTCGGGTGTCAGTGGCTTCTGCCGGAGAGCACGTTTCTTGAGGGCGCCTGAGGGTACGGGGCTACGCGCGATGAGCGAGGGCGTTGAGGCGCGAGCCTGGAGGGACGGGGCGCTGCGAGCCACAAGAGTGGCATCGTTGCTGGGGAGCGCGACTATAGGCGAGACGATAGCCAGTGCAAGGAGGGCGAAAATGTGGATGAGCGTCGACAGATGCATGGTGATGATGGACTAAGCAGTGGTGGCAGTTCCAAGGGAGCTGGACACGGACACACACTGGGACCTCCTAGGTGACGAAAGGGGGTGAAAAGGGGAAGGGGAAGGCCGGCCACAGCTCGAAAGATAAATGACAGGTGTGGCGTCTGTCGGGCAGGATAATTGACGAGGGCAGGACCCCTCGGGGCGGACAAGGGTGCTGATGGTAAAGTTTTGATGCACAGACACGTTCGAGCACGTTCTCGCCTTAAGAGTCCGGCAGCTTAGATAAAGCAAGGGAGGGCATTGTTCACCCACCAATAGCGAAGCACGACGCGCAGACTATAATCACGTCGGCAGATGCATCGGCGTCGCGCTGTGTGGTGCTGTGCGGACCCTGACTGCTACTTTCTCCCCTTCGTCGGATGCCACGACGACCGTCCTGTTTGTATTGTTGTCATCGTTGCTTCTCTTGTGCAGATGCTGTCCAATAAAGCTAGCGAGCTCAGCGAGCTGGGGACAATGGTTACAAAATGTAGTTGTAGTCTAACGTAGGTTGGCGCCGAGCCAGCTTCTTGGCGTAACACTAATTATTTCCGGCCGCCGTCCAATGTCCAATTTCGTTGCGCCCCGCCGGGCCAGGTCCCGCTGTGCAAGCTGTGCAAGGTTTCGACGCAAAGCAGAGTGGATAAGGAGGACGTTGATCCTGCGGGAGGCAACTATCTATGAAAAAGCAGCGATATCGAAAAAGCCTGCGAGATGGACAGCCGTCGTGATAGCAAGCAGCCTGCAAGGAAACGAAAGCCTGATATCCAGCGCGGTGTGGCGTGCTGTCACGTCGGCGCGAAGCAGGACATGTACGATAAATCCCACGATGGCGACATAGACCCGACGACGTCGGTGGTTCAGGAGTGGCTGATCAGCTCGATTCACAGCCGTTGCCCGGTTTCGCGCGGGAATGCTCTCTTCCACCTCCTTCCGCGCACGCGGAACGCGACCTTGCGTGGTCACATATCCGCGCCGTCTGTCAGTCGCATAGATTGCAAAATCATCCCTGGCCGACAGCGGCAGCTAGACGACCACGAGCGTGCCGCTATGTCAGAAGCGAGATGAACTCAGTTCACCATTCAAGCATAAGATAACAGTGGTTCTCTGTGTACCAGACCCTACTTCCCTGAGAGGAAATGTCAGCCGCAAAGCGCTGAGGGTGCGCCGCAGAAACTCTCGGAACGCGCAGCTTCTAGTGGGCTCCGCGTGAGAAGATCGTTGCGCGTGCATCTCCATGCCGCAGCCCATTAATCTCGACGCACTGCAATTCGCAGGCACAGTGAGACAATGGAGCACATCCCGTCGGCAGAGGTGAGCAACGCTGGCATGCGTGGCCGAGGAAGATGATTATAGTCTAACTCGTGTTATCAGTAGTATGTTCGAAGCGGCGTCGTATAACTCTCACCCTACACGTGTTCGCATCTTGCCATGAAGTAGGAGCCGCCTGGTTGCGACATCCCTGCGGAGCGAAGTCAGCATGAGTGAGCAACGAAGAGAAGGCAGCAACAACCTTCGCTTTGGCGCAGGAATCAGCGCTCCGTCCCAACGTCTTTGAGCTCCGTTTCAGGAACACAGGTCCCAAGCCACAAAGTGTGTTGGTATGAGCAAGCCTCCTTTGCAGAGTCAGTAGACGATATGTTTATCTGACACATGTGCCCCAAAAGTGGATGTTGCACACTGATCTCCTGCCGCCGACCGACCATGTCCTCGTCCAGGGAGTGAGCCGCGATGCCGATGTGAACATAATCGGTCGCCGGAGGGTTATGAGGGCTTCACTTCGAGTTATTAGACTATAGGGCACTATCTGTCTTGATCCTCCTATATCAATTATAAGGCGGAAATTTGGCAGCCTCCATCGCGGCATGTACATTGCCATGGAATGAGATCATGCCAGGTCGTGAAGGTAAGAGATAGTAAAGACACTCACGACGACCCCGGATGACAAGGCAAGAAGAATACAATCAAAGATGATAAAGCCAATGAGAGCACAGAAGAACGCGCTAGACCGTTCGTCCGGCTGGTCATACGCGGGCTCACTGACTCTAATAGGACTGCTCCTATAAGATAACAATTGATCAGCGTCGACATCAAGGTGCGAAATCGTAGCAGCCAAGATGGATGTACCGGACCGCAGACAGCCAAAGACAGTGAAATATTGCTTTAGTACGCTGCAGTCGTGTGGTGAAAGTGTTTCAAAGGAAAGGAAAGGATCCGGTCGAGCACACTTACGATTACCACTATTCTTTTATGGATGCCTTCGTAAAGGCACCTGCCGCACCACTGTACATGACCGTACCATTTTAGCGAAAGTTCAAAATGCGTGAATACAGTGCCAGTCCCGATAACACACACAGCCCCCTGATGCGAATCCTTGCTCTCGAATTCGTGTGCAGAAATTTGGGTGCCGCACAACGTCTCGTCTCTTCCAAGCGCTGTAGCCGTACGAGTGTAGTTAGTCAATCAATACAAACTAAGATTGTATTCTGCTTACGATTATGAAAGCATCGTCGACAGCATCTCAAGGGCGTCTCGCAGTGACGACCTCGATATTCTCCAGTGATCTGATAGTGATATACACAGTGGCGTTTTTCGAATTCACGTAGAAGCCGCGGCGATCGCTATCAGAGCTGTTCGCGATAGCAGCGACCTCCCAGCCGCTGCGGTTCCACTGGCCGGCGGGGCCAAAGTTGTCAGCGATGTGGTACCATTTGTCGTCGCCGTTCGAGTTCGACCACTTCGACACAAAAGCCTGGTAACCGCTGCAGCCTCCGACCTGCCTGATGCAGATGCGATCTCCGATATACGGCAGGCCGCCGTCGCAATGATTCTCTGGGTATGTCAGAGAACAAACTGTAGTTGAATGAGAGACCTGTAGAGGCTTACTGCCATTGGTGGTCAATCTTGCTTGGGGAGAGGGCGGAAACATGCTATACCCAGTCGGCGGGTTATATAAGGCCAGCGTAAGTCCATCGTTTGGTGAAAGATAAAAACCCTTCATCGATGAGGATCTACGGATGGAATTGAGATACTGAAACGTGGCCACCGCAGAACCTATATATTGACGTGAAAGGGATCTTCGCAGTGAGCTATGTTCAATTGCAATAGTATATCGGTAAAAGCGGCCTCGTCGATGCTTCTGTACGTCCATAGAATGCTAAGTCGTGATGCGTTCCTTCGCTCGTTCACAGTGCCCTTGCATGCAACACACCTACCTCCCATTTTGTCGGATGAGGATCACGCCGATCACATAGTTATAGCACTGCGTTTTTGTCAACCCTAGCTGACCCAGACTTGATCTATTGAGCTCATCTGTGAACCAGCTGCCGCATAAAGAAATGGCCGAAGCTCGTACCCTTAAGCTCAAGGCCCCATGCTCGAGTAGCATTGGATCTGCCACAGTGACTCCGCTGTAGTCGCATTCTGTCAAGCTTGCCAATTATATTGATGCGCACCGAGTAATAATGCACAACAGGGTTAATATTATAGTCGCAATGAAACTTCGCAGCTTGAGCTATATGCCAACAGAACGTTAAAGGGAAAATCAAGATGGTCCGAGGAACAGCGCTGTTGCACGTGACACCTATTTACGGACGCGTCGGCGTTGGCTCTGAGTCACCCAACGTTCAATCACAACCCTGTACTCGTCTCTCTGGCATCACCGAGGCATCAGCTTGCAGTAAGCTTTTATGTCTCCTGCTTGCATTGTATTGAGTCTTAGAGCACGGATCCTAGGCGGAGCGCTATGTCAGACGTTGACGAATACGACACGTACAACGTTTCCTTCGACTCTGAGATACTACCTTTTATAATCGAGCTCCCTCAGTCTCAGGAGCCGCTTCCAGAGACGGTGCTTGATGTGTCGGCTGCAGCAGACGCTCCGACAAGCCCAAAGTCGACGTATAGCGACGAATTTTCCAAATATGATCTCTCAGAGTTTACGGCAGAGGAGCTCACTGCTCTCGACGCCTCGATCGCAGCCCGAGCTCCCGGGAGCAGTCATACAATACCGGGATATGAGGCGCATATGGATCCGCGGTCTTGTAACTCCAGTGGTCCTGCTATTGAGATTGAGATAGAGAAACCTGCTGACGAATTTACGGGACGGCAGACACCTTCTGCAAACCAGCCCATTGCACAATCTCCTCAGGCTGGACCCTCAACAGAAGTGATGGACGAATCTGTGGATTCAATGCCGCCAGTACCTCCATACGGAAAGGACAGCCATTTTTACCGCTTCAGACGACGTACAGGGACGCTGGCTGTGACTGATCTCAGCGCGCCTTCCTGGTATGTTTGCGATCATCTAGTACGGCGCATCTAGCATATCCATTTGGTGCTTCTAGGTGCGAGGTGCAGTTTGAATATGGTCTACTGCAGAAGCGAAGTAGAAAGCTCGATCAGAGGCCTGCATCTTTTGCGACGACCACAGGCAAGGTTATCTACGTTGACCAACAAGCGGCGAAAACGATGGACAAGATAGCGAAACGGGGTGCTGTATGGTTTTATCTTCGTGCTGGTGATCTGTTGCGCTTAGGTAATTACTACAGTCGGTGCACAAGGCTCTGGAGAGGGAGATCCATCCCGAGAAGATACCTATCGAAGTGAAGACGGAGGAAGAACGATGGGCCTTACGGTATATTTTACAAAGAGCCTATCCTCGAAGTCTTCCTGACTTAAGTCGAAGCATATTGCAAATGATTGAGTCTGTACAGTCCCTCATCGAGATTGGCAAATGCGTAAGCTTTCCATCGCCCCAACATTGGCTTTGCTGACCAACAGCTTAGAGGGAAATGCCGGTTTTTGGTATCCTTCAAGGTCAAGTCGTTGTGGGCATTATCGTGAGTCTCGGTGACAAATATTACCAGTTCTTTCGTCATACTGCCATATAGGACGAGATTCAGCGACGCCCATTTAAAGAGCCATCCTCGACCCCATCATCTCCAGACTCCGAAGGCAACGATCGCAAGCGTGAGAGGCCTGATGCGAGCCTGCCATCAACGCCCTCGAAATCTAAATCGAAGAAAGTGCGTTGCAGTTTGTCGCCGTCCCAGCCTTCAGTTACGGCCTTCTTCTCTCCCCGAAAAGGTGCCGCCGACCACTGCAGACCTGCTACACCCGTCACTTTGTCCCCGCCTCTGCCACAGTATAAACTCCATGTGATGGACACAAAGAGCCGAAACACACCTACCTTGCCACCGGAAGAAGACATGCTGCCGGCTCGGCTTCAGCTTATGTTCTACCATAGGCTCCTCTCCAGTGCAACGGCCAAACCTGCAACTTCTGCCCATGGCGTTGGCTTCGACACGGTCTGGGCTCAGTTGAATCTGTCACCGATTCGGCCATTCTCGAAGCAGTTCACGGAAGAAGCTGGTCTAGACGATAACGACGTGAAATGCCTGGTGGATGTCGTGCGCATGTGGCAAAATACGGTCGAGATGCTCCACATCAAGGGTGTGGACGACACTTTGACGATCATATACCGAACTCAAGCTCGCCGGCGGAAGAGCTTCAAAGGCAAGGCAAGAGCCCAACCGGTGCAGGACAGCGTTTCTGGCAAGCAGCAAGGGCAGTACCAGCTCTTGCGAGACATAATGGCCAATGTGGCCGTCATGGATCCACTGACGCCTCAGGTACAAGAGCGGCTCCTCCAGCTGGGTATGGCAGCTCTGAAGGGCTCAGCTGTTTCTGGCGCTCGAGCAGATAAACCGGAGCGCAAGTCTCCTCGAGTAGAGGATGTACCGGGGACGGCTGAACAGGCGGTTCTTGACGAGTTGCGGAGCCATCCGAAGATGAAGGCGTCAACCTCTGTGCCTGGTGCAATGAACCCCGGTGTTCCCGACGCTACCATTGTCCCAGAAGCGGATTCAAACCCTGGAGACGACATCATTGGAATCAAGAACTTTGTTGTTGACAACGACTTCCTTGATAAGTATCTCACCAGTATACTCCAATTCTGGTACGGTAAGCGTCCACCTCAGGGCGTGGACATCAATTTGACGAGACGGTGCTCGTGAGTGACGTCTTTTGGCCTCTGTTTTAGCAATGCTTACGACACTGCTACAGATGGTGCGAATATCGAGATGGGTGTGAGTGGAGGGAGATGAAAGCGGAGGAGGCTGAGAGCCACCGTAAGGCAGAGAGCGAGAACAGCGTCTGAACGTTAATTACCTGTGATTTGCTACGTGCTCTTCGCCATCAATTGTTATATACTATTGTATATTCGGATGTTCATGCGTTATGGGGCCGCCAGCCCGCCGGTTTCAAGTGGCGATGCGTACCACTTGCAATTTCAGATGTAGCCGAGGCAGGCGTCAATCGAGCGCGCCACCATGGCTACGCTTTCCTGTTCGACTTGATTCCAACGGCCATCCGCCAGTTGACTCTGGTGCACCATGGAGGGCATTCCTGACGAGTCTGCGATTTCCAAGGCTGCGGAACTCACCGTACTTGATTTGACTGGACAGAATGTTAAGTTCGGCGATTTGTTTGAGGACAAGAAAATTGTCGTGATTTTCATCCGTGAGTACCGGTGCTTTCAGAACCGCCCCATCGTCTCAGCACGCTTTCACAGGTCATTTTTTCTGTGGCGTAAGTCAGCAGACACCAATCAGTTTTACTTGTACCGACCAGACCTTCTGTATTATAGAATTGCCAGGTACACCTGACCGGTTGACGAGTTGACCTCATCAGCCTTCTCACGGCCACCTTCCTCCCTCCCAGGCCTACGTGTCTCAGCTGGCGGCGGTGGAGCAGGAAGCTTTTGACAAGGCCGGTGTTTCGCTTTTGATTATAGGCTGCGGCGACTATCAGCCCATAAAGAACTACGCCGACAACACCGGCTTCCGGGGCCCCATCTACGCTGACCCTACTCGCGCGTTGTACCACCACTTCGGACTCATCGAGAACCTCAACACGACGCCCGCAGACGAGGAAAAGAAGAGTTACCTCGCAGGCCAAAGCAGGATTGGCAACGCTCTGGGCAGTATTTGGGTATTGGCCTCTGTCTTGTTGGTTTTCCTGACGCTGGCTTACGCCCTGCATGCAGAGAGGTCCTCTCAAGAACCCTCACCACATGGGCAAACAGGGCAACATCTCCCAGCTTGGGGGCGAATTCATCTTTGGCCCCGGTGTGTACCGGCTACCCTAACCATATGTAGTGGGCAGGCTAGAACTTACTATCCACTGATGTAGGCAACCGATGTTCCTATGCCTCTCGCATGAAACACACCGAGGATCGTAAGTAATTGACATATTCCCACAGTTGTCAGCACTTACCCGAGATAATAGATGTCGAAGTGGCCGAGCTCATGAAGGAGGCTGGAGTGGAATATCATTGAGTACGAAGTTAGAGCCCTGTATATTAAACAAGAGGCTACACCAACTTGAAACTGGATACCCGCACTTAACCCAACCACAAGTCCTGAAGTAACCCCAAAAGCCCAAAGATCATAGAAACGGTACACGTACAACTTAAAACATTATGAACCACACAGTGTATACATACGGTGGTGGACAAATCGCTCTACAATACAACGCGAACGGGTCTGGCTAGTAAAGGCATGCCTTGTATACGGGAAGGTAGTGCCGACAAACAGAGAGACGGAGTAGACGGGGGAAAGAATATATAGAAGCATGCGTGTGAGATGAGAGTTAAATGACGAGCAAATGCGGATGCGATAGTCATGCGAGAGGTCCATTGCGAAAACAGACACGAGGTAGGAGATAAGTTAGGAAAGGAGTCAAAGCTAGCCTGGGGACGAAGCATTTTGTGCGTGAGCAAGTGCAGATTGTAGGTCTGTATGCGGAGTCAGACATGAATTACAGAAGCGCCGGATAAGACGTACCGTGCATCCTGAAGGGTTTCGGTAAAAAGTGGTCCATTCCAGCGGCACGGCACTTTTCTTCACTCTCGGTACTGACATTTGCAGTGAGAGCGATGATAGGTAGCCGTCCGTGAATAGTGCCGTTGTTCTCTAGTTCTCGGATCTTCTGGGTTGCCATGAAGCCATCTAAAACTGCAAGCCGACTGATTAGCTCAGAGGAGAGAATATTCGGGCAGAAAACGTACCTGGCATTTGACAATCCATGAAGCAGCAGAAGTATCTCGACTGGCTCGCCTTTTCCACGGCCTCCTGACCGTTGCTTGCAGTCTCTACAGCGTACCCCAACTTTTCTAGTAGACGCTTGCCAAGGTGTTGATTGACCATATTATCCTCCACCAGCAGAATTCGCTGCGTCTCCTCCAGCGCAAGGGCCGCCGATGATGGCTCTACTACAGGAGCGACCGAACGTTCCGCTCCCAGAGGTGACGACGGAGGCTGGGACAATGGAGGGGACAACGGCGATGACGGCGTGGGTACAAGCGACTCTTCCTTCCGTTCCTCCGTAGGTGTTATGGGGTACTTGCCTTCAGGCAGGGCGAAGCGCACGCGGGACTGCGTCGAGCTGACGTGAGAGCCCATATGCGGCTCTGGGTTCTGCAGCATTTCGAGCAGATTATGTGTGACAACTGGTCGCTTGGTGAGCACGACGTTTCGCGCATGGGACAGTGCGGGCTCAAGAACCGAGAGCTCTTGCAAGTCGGAGTAGACGATGAACATTGCCGGAAGCTTGAGCACTTCGCTGCCGTTCATTAGCTCGCACAGAACCCGATGTTGTTGCACGGACTTGACATCGGTCCAGACAACATCAGTCTCCTGAGCCAACTGCTGTAATGAGAGGTCCGACGATAACCGACTCGCGCTGAATCCATGTCGCGACCACAAATCGACAAAAAGTTTTGTGGTCCGCTCATGACGATGAATAATCTTTACTCGCTTCTTCACCTCGAGTGGCAAGGTCGGCCTCATGGGTGAGTTTGAAGGCGGTGTGACAGGGAGTTTGACCGTGAAAGTGCTCCCTTCGCCTTCGGCCGACTCGACGTCAACTTCGCCAGACATCCGCTGGACAAGGTGCTTCACGATGCTCAGCCCAAGCCCCGTGCCTTGCTTTGGTCGCGTAAGAGAGCTGTCGGCTTGTCGAAAGGGCTGAAAGAGAGCGCTACGGAACGATTTGGGGATGCCGCAGCCGGTATCCATGATTTTGATGGCGACCTGTGTATCGGACTCCATGGCCACATGCACGCAGACATAGCCCTCTTCGCAAAATTTCTGGGCATTCGATAGCAACTAAAGACATGTCAACGTTTCATTCTTGTACATCGAAGTATCTCCGGGACTTACATTCATCAGAATCTGAGGAAAATCAGTCACGAACACGCGCAGTAGACCAACATATGCTCACCCGATAGGTGTATGTCTCATCAAGATACATGGTACGTGGAACGTCGTTATCGACGAAGACCACAACCTCGACATTGTGGTCACGATTTGAAGCATCACGCGTTTCGATAATGCGAGCCTGATCCTCGACCATCTTCCTCAGGTCAATCAGCACGGGCCGCGCCGACAATTCCACATTGTTGCGATCCAGCTGAAAGCCAAAGTAAGGATCGCTTAGTCATGAACCTCTGAGTGAGACGCACCTTGCTGAAGTCTGCGGAGAACATGAGTATATGCGGTACAGTGATATGGAACTCGACGCACCCAGCACATTTCCGGCAATGACATTGATCGCATGGCACGCCTGCTGGATGCTATTGACGTAGACCGCCTGCTCTTCTGTAAGATTGGTCATTGCCAGCAGCTCGCAATACCCGTTGACAGCATGCAATGGCGTCCGAATCTAATCATGCAGTCAGCTCACAAGTATGACACAACTTCGCTTGCGCAGCTCACTTCGTGGCTTGCGACGGAGATGAACTGTTGCTTGAGTTCGTTCGCCTGCTCCGCTGCTTCTTTCTCAGCCATGATACGCCAAAACCGTCGTTTGGTGAGGATTACCTCTGCCATGCGGTTTCTTGAGATTATGGCGCTATGGGCTAAGACGGCGTTCGAGACGACACAAACAAAGACGGCGATGACGAGAATCGCGAAGGGAAGGTACTCAGGGTACCCTGCATCTGGGGAAGGCGGTGCTCTGGTGTAGAACGTTGCCGCAGCCATACCTGAGAATGTTGAGCGTCAACGACGACGTCATGCATGCGCGTATATGCGTCGACAACGTACCAGTGTAGTGCATCGATGACGTTCCCACGGATGCAATGGTACTGAAAGCCACCTGTCGCCCGAAGTGGACCTCCATGTGAACCATTGAGATGCATGCGACAAAGCAAACCGAGAAGGCGACAACGTAGGACAGGATAACTATTGTCCAATTCCATTCGATATGCCCCTCCGGGATCTCCATAGCCCACATGCCACAGTAGTGCATGAAAACGATAGCCAGTCCCCAGATGGTGGCCCGCATGCACGCCATAAGCGTGATCGACCGGTAGTAGGCCTTGAGCCAGTACTTCCAGCCAAACTTCGGGACGGGCTTGTCACGAGCCTGGGCCTTGATCCTGAGGCGTGCTTCACGGCTAAGACCAGCGTGCAGAGGTTCGGTCCAGGAGAGCGAAGATAATGTTGTGCTCGTGTGCGAGTATGTGTGGGTGCCCGAAGAAGCCGAACCAGAGGGGCGGCGCGTCCCTGTAGACTCGTCACTACTGCTGGTAGTAAGGGGAGTGCTATCTTCTGACGTTCTTGTCGAAGACGGTATTTCTTCGGGAGGCGAAGGCCTAGCTGCGAAAGACCAGCTCGCGAAAAGCCGACGAAGTGGATTCAAAGGTTCGCTAGCGGGAACAGTGGGCGGCGCTGGTGTCGTTTGAGGCGTTGCCTCTGGCACGTGCGAGAGCCCTCCTTCATGCGAGCCTTCTGCAGGATGTGGGAGCTCTCCGGTAAATAGAGAGTTATTGCGGAATAAAGTAGGCCGAGTAGGCACTTGTTCGAACCTCTCTGCGGAGTGGCGGTCTTCGTTCTCCTCGCCATCGTCGTCTCCGCGGTCCGACGTGCTAGCAAAAACGGATCGACGGTCTTCATCACCATGGTCGGATGTAGCGACTGGAACATATCCAGTCTCGGGGTCTGCTGGTGTGGAGTCAAAGACAAACGACCGTAATGATGTACGGAACGACTTGAACCACTTCGACAAAGTGACGGCTGGGGCAGAATTCTCGATGGTTTCGGTAGCGTAGCCGCTGGAAAACGCAGCGCAGGTGAAGAGGATGGCGACAAAAGCAGAGAAAAAGGTGAGGCCTCTGTCGAAAGTGATCTTGACGTCTAGACCACAAGCGAGCATTCCCACTAGTCGTGAAGTTGTTCATCTCGTGTTACTGAGGGAGCTCCGAATGGACGTACCAAAGTGCATCGACCAAATCGCCGTAAATCCAAAAGCGACGCTAGCCATGAGTATCCATATCCACCGAGCGAGCCTCCCTCTCGAGTACTTGGCATGGATGACGATCTGGGTGCTTGTATAGGCCCCCAACCAAGAGATACAGTAAGAAAGGGCGACCAGCTGCAGGGCAAAACGAGGCAATGAGCTCCACAGCTTAATGGCACGGAAAGCGACATACTCTGTACGACCAAACCGGAACGAGCTGTCGCTCGTCAACCGTGGAGACGTCCATGCCTTGGCGCGGATACCGTCGACGTGGCTAGACGAGACGACGGTAGACAAGCAAGCGGGAGGCAAGGAACGACGGAATTAAAGCTTATTAAAGGCTGAGTTGGACTCTAAACCATTACAGGTGCCATCCGGCTGTGGTGACCTCAGGCTAAGGCACGTGCCGCCTTCCTAAAGCGGGGGCCCGGAGCGGAATCAAGCAGAGCCGACGGCGACGGAAGACAAACAGTCGCAGCCGGGGCTGCGTTGTGGGTCCATTTGGGGAGAAGCACAGAGAGGAGGGAAAGAGGAGGCGAGCGCGGCCGACAAGTGAGATCAACGGTTATATTAATTGTCGACGTGCGCCCAGTCACTCAGGCAGGCAATTCGCCACCCAACATCAGACAGAATTTCAAACGACCAGACCGAGCGAGACTCGCTGACGATCATTCGCAGTTATTGTATGTGAAGGTATGCCACGAGAGTGTCAATAAACACGTTCCCGCAGGCCGTTCCAGGCCGTGCTCGCGTGAGCGGCAAATGTGTGCATTTGCGGAGAGCAGGAACGAAACAGAACAGAACAGAACAGAACAGAACTACGGAATATGGAGACCAACCAACCTCACGCTTGGCTTTCCCCCGAACTGGATGACGACCCGCCATCCTGCTTCGCAGACCCGTCACCGAGTTCAACGATCTGGGGACGGGTAGACCTGCGCCGTGGAAGGGGCTTGATAGGCCTGTATTGCACCAAAGAGGCCATCGTCGAAGAAATGATATCGACTGATGAGTCCGAGTCATATTCATCCGACGAGTCCGAGCTGTCGCTGTGCGAGGTAGAGTCTGAGTCTGAGGAGGTCGCAGATGTCTTACTTGCATGCATTTCGATATCTGAATCACCTGCGGAGGAGTCCGACGCTACTCCCCTCTGCTCCTCAAAGACTCCAAGACCAAGATTCTACCCACCGTTAGACGACGCGGCGTAAGTGTATGGGCGGAAGAAGGCGCACCATCTGGATGTACCTTTCTTCACTGTTGACAAACTTCTCGATGTCAACACTGTCGGGATTCTCCCTGGCCCGACGTGCTATCTCTTCAGTCGAAGCAGCAAATTGCGGGAGGAATGCTTGCACCCGCGATAAGACTACCAGGGCAAGGGATCAACCTTGGGTAGATTGCGGGGAAGTGTACAGTCAGACGACTCACGTTCAGTAGGGGGCTCTACTACGAACGTTGAGCGGTCGCCGAAGTCAAAGTTGAGGTTGTGAGGAGCCATTTGACTTCTCGGCCCTGGCTTGCCATCTAGTTGCATGAAGATGCCACCTGGACGTTGGCGTTCAACACACGCTTCGCTTCAGCGCGCAGCATGTAACGTACGCATCCTCTGTTCCCGCTGAGCCTCATCCTCGAAGTCCAGTGTCTCTACCGCGCGGTCTTTGCCTTTGGTCGTGTCATGGTGGGTGTCGCTCATGCTTGCTCTCGCATACTTCAGAGAGGATGAGGTGTAATAACGAAAGAGGGCGCCTTCGTTTTGCCGCGGGCCCGCCTCCTCTGCTCCGATGTCACGTGCCTCCGATCAGAGATCGCGCCCAAATTTGCCTTGGCCTCCTCCGCAGGCGTCTTTCGTCTTCACTTCTGCTTGACTTGGGCTCGCCCGCAACTCTGCAAGATTTTCGCCGCTCTCCTACGCGGCTTACGCGTGACTCGTTTGCTGTTCGCAGGAATGGCTGCACCAGGTCCCTCGACTCACCAGACAAAACTTGAAGGCTATGATTTCTTCCGCAAGGTCCTCGGCAGTCCGAAATATGTTGTGGCCCCGATGGTGGACCAAAGCGAACTGGTGAGTAGCCAAGCGTACTTGAGAGGTAGGAGCCTGAATTGACATAGGTAGGCGTGGAGAAGACTATCGAGAAAATATGGCGCACAGGTGAGCTGGGTCTTGCGAACGGCGCAGAGAACACGGCTGACATCGAGCTCAACAGCTTATATACACTCCCATGATCAACGCAAGGGTGCGTGTCCCGCACATTTACTCTGAGAAAGTACTTACAGTAGTCCAGATGTTTGCCCAAGATCAGCGGAAATCATATAGGCCGGAAATGTTTGACCTCGGGAGCGGTGAGGAGGGTGGACTCGGAGATAGACCTTTAATCGTCCAATTCGCCGCCAACGATCTTGATTGGCTCTTGAAAGCAGCCAAGATGGTAGAGGCTCGCTGCGACGCTGTGGATATCAACTTGGGCTGTCCTCAGGATATCGCAAGGCGCGGGCATTACGGCTCGTACCTGCAGGATGAATGGGATCTCATTTATAAGATGAGTGAGTACAAGTGTCTCAGTTCACGGGAAACGCAGTATGAAGTTGACGCTTTAACATTAGTCAATAACCTACACAAGAACCTTTCAATCCCTGTCACCGCAAAGTTCCGTGTGTTCCCAACTATCGAGAAGACAGTCGAGTACGCGAAGATGCTTGAGAGCGCGGGTGCCCAGATCCTGACATGCCACGGTCGTACCCGCGAACAACGGGGTCACAATACAGTAAGCACGTCTGTAGTCCGCCCACCACCGCATCTAACACGGGCTACAGGGTCTCGCAGACTGGGAAAAGATCCGCGCAGTCAAGGAGGCCGTCTCTGTTCCTGTCATTGCTAACGGCAACATCCTGTTCCACTCCGACATCGAGGCCTGTCTCGCCGCAACAGGCGCCGATGCTGTCATGTCCGCTGAGGGAAACCTCTACAACCCTGTCGTCTTCATGTCTGCGCCTGCGTCATCATCATCGCTCGCCGACCCTGCACTCCCGTCAACTTGGTGCATCTCATCAGACGGCCTGCACCTTCCTCATACGCACCTTGCGCTCGAGTATCTGGCTATTGTGAAATCGCAGAAGACGCGAACGAAGGGCAGCGCGGTGAAGGGGCATCTGTTCAAGCTACTTCGGCCTGCCCTTGGTCGCGAGACCGACTTGCGCGACCGTCTGGGACGAATACAGATCAAGCGCCTCGGAGACAGTGAGGCGTGGGACCAATACGAAGCCCTCATCAAGGAGTTTGACGAGCGGATGCAGGTGCGCTTGCATGCTAATTCGCTGTGGCGCCTCGAATTTAATCCCGTATTGCGCAGCGGGACGCCAGAGCGGCAGAAGGTCGCCCTGTCGACAAGCTGATCACCGTGCATGAATCAACGGGGCTCAAGATGATGCCACATTGGGTCGCGCAGCCATATTTCCGGGCGATGCCCAAGGTCGTGGAGCAGGCGGAGAAGAATGAGGAGACTGCAGAGTCCGTCGTCGCTGAGGGTGGCGAGCCTCAGTGTGCATCAGGTACGCTCGATTGAGGCCCCTCCAATACCGCTGTACCTAATTGTTTGTTGATACGGAGAAACAGCAGATGTTGATATACCGCCTTATGGGAGCGCAGCAGGTAAACGTGCACCCTCTGAACGGACACCAGAGCTAGATGAGCTTGCGAAGCGTGTCAAGCTTGTACGGGAAGATGCGGCTGAACCGTTAGCTGCTGCGTCGTAGACTATGCGTTACGCATGGAATCGATGTTCCACTGTGTGGCCGCTGCGGACAAATAATCAGTTGTGTTCCAGGCCAAGGACGCGGAGCGTCCCAGACGTTTAATGGCGCGCCGGCCATAACCCGTTTGCGGCTTGCGTCTGCGCGGCTCATACATAACACACCCGTCAAGAGGCGAAAGTGTGTGTTACATGATATTTGCGACAATAGAGCGGGATAGTATACTTGAAGCTCGCTGCTCGTGTCCCCTCGTCTTTGACTTCTGGCTCCTTGGAATGCGCGCGATAGTGATGTCACTTTTGTCCTCGGCATCCAAGTAGCTGCAGATATAGTGGTAATACTCTGCAATCGGGCCCACCATGATCCTGAGAGACTCGGTACCATCAGGGTGCTTGCTCGGATTCGCCTCCACCTTCAGGTAAGCTTTAATCATTCCTACCCTGATCTCAGCCAGTGCGTGTCCAACAGGGACGAGGTCCTGATGAAGACAGCCCTGGAGTATCCATTTGAGGCGATCGCCTGCTTCCGACGGCGCAGCACTGAACATTACAGGACGTCTAACGGGGTCGTCGAAAAGCTCGGCAGCGAGTATACACTGCGCCCTGAACTTCTCGGCCGGCTGTCGGGGTCGGTTCTCTGTCGGCTCGACCACCCTATAAATCACCATGTACATGGAGACCCAGAAAAGCGACTCCCAGTCGTTCAACAGGTGGTACCTGAACGGAAGAGGGTGGCCAGGGTGGCCGGGCTTAGATGATATCCTCTCATCGTTTTCTTCCGCTATCAGAGCAGCGGATAGCGAATCACCAAGAAACGCAGGCTTCCATGAAGAAAGGTCGCTGACTCCCTTGTATTGGAACAAGTATGCGCAGGCGCTGACCTCAATCGACATGAAATATCGGGTACCCTGTTTTTGGGATCAATATTCAGAATATTCAAGTCACACCTATATCTGCAGGCAAGGCGTACCATACGCGTCGTATGAGCATTGTACTCCGATTTCCAACGTTGAGCGTATTCTAGGTCGGATAGCAGGCCGCGTCCATTGTACACCAGGATATTGCCAGTGCTGATGTCCCGATGCACCCAGCCAAGATCATGCATGACAACCAAGCCTAGAGATACACATCAATATATGTATATATAGCGCCGCGTTCCTTTGGGAAGCTATACTTACATCCCCCAACATCGCAGATCACCTTGAACGCGATCGCGAGGGAATTCTCGTCGTGCAGAGGATGGCCAAGTTCGTTGAACACGATGCGATGATGGACCTTAGGGTCGAGCCGAAAATGCTTGCAGGCAAAGCGGCTAACGTAAGACAGCTCGCTGTCGGGCGAGGTGGGCCTGCCTTCACGATCATTTTGACCACGAGGTCGACCGAGTGGCCAAAGGTCCATCGCTAAGGTAGATGTCGTCCAGGGAAGGAGTGACGCTTGGCAAACCCAAAACCAGAACATCTCCATGAGCACAGATGGTAGGGAGGTACTGTAATACCTCTTGCTCACGCCCGCCCCAGCTTGCAATCTCTGTGCATATTTCATAGATATTCTTTGCCTCCCGTTGCTGATCTAGATCGACCCAGCAGTCCTTAATAATCACAAGGTTTGACTTCGACTCGCCCTTGAGATAAGCAGACCATACTCTTGTTGCACATCTGAGAATACCATCCGCGGCAAGATCTGACAGAAGCTTGATGGTACAATAGACTCGAGCAGGCTGGTCCTGGTTATGGATGGTGATCTTGTACTGACAGTCTTTGTCTTGCTTACGACCGCATGAGATACGAGTGATGGTAGGATCCCACCTGAAGGCCGTCTTGTCGGCATACAACGCTGCTAGGAAGAACCTGACAATGAATATGGGGTCCTGGAGAACTTATCAGGTTTGTCAAGCCTCAGGTTAGCCACAGGGGCTTCACCTTGAAAAATTTGAAGGTAATGCTAGCAATGGCCTGCGAATGATTGCAGTACCACAGCCGAGTGGATGTGTTTTCAATGGTAAAACCGTAGGCCGCACGACGTAGAGGATCATCGCGCATGATATGATTCAGACCCCAAAGAACTTTGTGGATGTTCTAGTGGTATTATGAATGAAACGATGAGACTAAAACCCAAGGGTGGCACTACGTACGTCGTCTGTATCAACCGATTTATTGCACGCCTTGAACTCACCAACGAGGCCAATGTCCCACCATCGAGGCTTCTCCTTGTTCGTCGCATTGGACAGAAGGAAGTAGCCATGTGGGCGAGAATCATCATTACGCTTGGGAAATTGATAAGACTCAGGAGCTCTGTTGCCGTTGTTTCTGTAGGCAAACCGCCGAACCAGCTTGGACCGGTGTTTCTTCGCATGCGAGCGTGCGGCCGCCCTTGCGATGTCGTTGGCCAAATCTTCCAGCTGGGAGAACACCAGGGGCTCCTCGCGACTGTCTTTCGCTGGTTGCTTGGGGAATGATCTCCAAACGTATCCGTTGCGAGTCTTTCGAAGAGCGGGAGGAGATCCTTCCTGAAGCTCCTTCATAACCCCCTCCATGCCGGCTTCTGTTCGAAGGCTGTCCGGGGGCGGAGGCGCGAGGCGACTCAGGAAGGATGCCAGATCGACCTCAGGGATGCACCACGGCCGTAGCTGCGCAATAATGGGACCGTGAGCTATAGGACAGATTCGACAGGAGAGAACCTGGGGTCAGGCTGTTCAGAGAGCGGCAAGAGACTCACTCGTTGAGGCAAGCTCTGTGACGCTGAGCCTGAGGATTCCATCTCACAGCAGGCTAGCTGAATGCCCGAGTGGTTGTCCAACAAGACGAGGGCCTTAGACAAGAGACTCCTGAGCTCCTGACACTGGGAGGTCCGCGGTCGCTTACGCCATTTGGCTGAGTAAGGTGAACTAGTACGTGCGATACACACCGTGGTTATCAATCAACATTCTCGACGAGGTGAGCGCCATGAAATCCGAACTACGAACAGCCGCTTCGGTCGTTCACTGCGGCTGATGGTACAGCTGATGCGGCATGCCTGATAGAGAAGGCTTTTGCCCAAGAACTTCGTCTGGCGACAAATGCGATAACTGAACCGGGACCATGCCCGCGTCGGCTCCTCCTGCGCCCAGAAGGTCGTTGCCGGATGTGCGGACTTCCGAGGCGGGAACTTACTTACCAAGGCCGCCGCCCTTCGGACGATGAGCATAGCCTTTCCGGGATACGCATCTCCGACGAAAGTCTGCATCCGCACAATTATATACAACATGCATTTCAAGGGAGGTATACATTGCATAATCCACTCAGAGACATAGCAGCACTCGATGCGTTGCATAAAACCCTCTGCTTCCGTCCGTCTTCCGCCTAAGTAGCTTTGAGACCCTGCCGGACCGGGAGGCGTCCAACAGCAATGTCCTGAGTGTCCAAGAATCGACAGATCTTGTTATACTGCGAAGGAATTGTCTCCCAGATGATATCCACGGATGCTGCCCCATCCGGATGTTGGTCTGGATTCGCTTCGACTTCTCGATAGGCATTGAGCAACTCCACCCTGATGTCTCCCAGCACCGTCGCAACAAGCTCGAGATCATCATGAAGACAGTTGATGAGTGTTTGCTTGAAGGGATCCCTCTCCTCCGTTGCCAGCTGGGAAAACTTCACTGACCGCTCCTTGTAGCTGTAGAATAGACCACGAGCGAGTTCTCGCTGCTTCTCGAGCTTGTCAGATGGCTGCTGGGTTTGGTTCCCCTTCGGCTTCACAACTCTATCGAGGACCATGTACAGAGAGACCCAGAAGAGCGACTCCCAGTCGTTCAGTGGATGATACCGAAAAGGGAGGGAGGACCCCATTTGCCCCATTCGGGTCCTAAAATTCGATGGGAGCGTATCTAGGAGCTTCGAAAACGACTTTCTGCCCGCTTTGCCTTCTCCGCGAGATGTAGTCCCTTGTCGCCCCGCGGCCTGAATCTGGAAGAGATACTCATGGGCGTCAACCTCCAACGACATGAAATACTCTGTACCCTAAGTACTGCCGTGTAAGCATCTAAATCGGGAGAGTTCAGCAACAGGACGTACCGTACGCATCTGATGACTAGTATGCTCCTCGGTATCCCAACGTTTGGCGTACTCGAAGTCAGTTAACAATCCGCGTCCATCGTACACCAGAATATTGCCGGTGCTGATGTCACGGTGCACCCAACCCATGCTATTAATGATAAGTAGACCTACATTGTGGCGTCAGTACAGATCATACCGTCCCAGCGTCCCAGAGAAACGTGAGCTTACACAGCATCGCACCTTTGATGGCACGGAACGCCACCGCGAGAGACTCCTCCTCGTGTAAGGCATGGCCAAACTCCTTGAACACGATGCGATAATGCGCCTTGGGGTCTAGTTGGACTATCCTTCGAGGAAATCGGTCAACGTATGACGACCGACTGAGGTGCG